GGTCTTGATTTTATGAATAAGAGTTTAGGCTGTGCAGTGCTTTAAAAAACAAAACACAAAAAAACAAAATACATGCTCCCTATACCGACAAGACATTATGGGAATTTTTGGGAAGCCCACGGAGTGCAGATAATTTACTAAAGATTATGCAACAACAATTCTCACACAGAAGAACTATTGCAAGTGTCATTTAGCTGGCCCAACTATTTGATGGGGGGGAGGGTCAGTCTGGGTGTAATTCTGAAGATAACTTAAGAGATATCCACTGCAAGCTCATCAAGGAACCAACTACTTTAAAAACAGTGTCTTGTTCTTGATTTGTACTTAATTGTTAACGTAACAATTGGGCTTCTGTGAGCTGTACCGTAATAGGATATAGAGCCTTTCATCTCAATCCCTGGGTTGAATCTGATCCAGGACAGCAGTGACCCGACTGTAATTAGCTGCAGATAGCAGTTCACTGAACAGAACACACTGACCTGATGCTCTAATCCCAGGGAACAGCTCTCAGTTTCACTATAAAAAGGAACATGTGAGGGGCAGCTCTATATCAGAATGGGTGGTTTCTGCAACAGTCAGAGGTTTATAGAAGGGGCTCAGCCTGGAAGAGGACCATGTCAGAGAGAGTTCTTGCTAGTCCTTTCACTGTACAACCAGGCTGTAGCAATTTCCAGATTTCAGTACAAGACAGACAGCAGCATATTATAAACATTTTGCTGAACAAGAGCTATGCTGCGGTATATCCTTGTCTTGGGAATTATGAGCTACCTTAGAGGGTCTCATACACAACAGACATGTAATTGAGGCTCATTTGTTTCCCCAGCATCCACACTGCAACATAACTTTTGTTAAGAAAATGTGATTCCTGACCAAGCTAGCAAGGTTGTTAGAATTTGGGGAGCTCTATGCAAGGGAAACCTTTACCTTTTATCATATAGACAGCACCTGCTCAGTAACCCAGGCATACCTACACCATTATCAATGACAACTAGCCACCAACTTCTTAATCCAGAGGACCCATGCCATGTCAAGACCCTAATACCAGCACTCCTTGTACACAAAGGGAACTCACAAGCAGAGGCTGACTAGCTTAAAGGCATTAGTGTGACCGACCCACTTTCTCCGCTTTCTGCCTCCCAGAGCAAGTCTCCAGCTTTTATCTTCTTAATTAAAATCCTCACAAGAGTGACCCTGGACAAAGCTCCACACTTTGCCTTTAGTCTAATCAGTTTTGGCTTTTCGTGAAATCCGTTATGGCCAAACAAATCACTCCCTATGTCTTTAAAAAGGAGGATGCCTGTGAGAACTACAGCACAGCTATCCTTCCTCCATCACTTAGGCGCTGGTCGAGTGTCTTTGAACTGGGACAGAAAGAACCACTTCCACAAAGACCCAAAAAGAGGAAGAATACAGTTGGAACTAACCTGAGTAAGATATCTAGCACAGCGGCCCTCATTCTGAGGGTATGCTTAAACAGCCCTAGAAGTGATTTGTAAACCATTACAGTAGGGATGAAGGAGTTGTATGAATCCACACACAGGAAGCAATCAAATATTTGCCAAGGCAGAACCTGGATTCGTTTAAATGCAACTTGTGAAGGAACCGTGATTATACTGCACTGAAACAGGGATGGTGTCTAGCGGGGCTTGGCAGATTGACGCTGGACTCTGCTGAACAACTTTTCCAGCACAGCTGTGTTGCAAGGCTGTTTTCTTCATTTCCTGCCATAATCCATGAAGGGGGATTATAGAAGCATAAATGAGGGCAACACTTTGGCTCTGCATCTGAAAACTAGTTAATACAACTCCTGAAACAAAATATGAGTTATTAGGACTGAAGAATTTCAAACAACAACAGAAGAGAGACTCGGGCAGTTCCTTGTCCACAAAGAAAGCTCAGAACATTTTGGAGTTTCAAGAAGGAAATCCAAAAGTTGGCCTCAGCAATCCAGCGCTGAAACAAATGATGTCCTTTAGGGATCTCAACATGGACTCTCTCTCTCTCTCTGCCAAAGGACAAGTCCAGCCTTGCTTTTTCACAGAGCAACCGCTCCAAAACCTGTCCACATTTCATTATTTTTTAAAAGATGCTTACCTCTAAGGACCATCTTACTAGGAGCCAGACTACTCTTATAACGATTTGTTCTAGTACATCATTCTAAAAATGTGCCATTATGGAGAGGTCACATAACTTGTTTTTAGCTATGTAAGGGCAAGAAGGGAAAACACAGATCTCCTGTGAGAAACTATCATTCCTTACGATAAGGAAGGATGCCAGGGTGTCTCGTGTTATCTCCTATTGCATTATCCTTCCCACCCATGTTAGGGCTATGACTGTTTGTTGTATTTCAGTGTTGTACTTCTCAAGGCTGTATTACAACAAAACTTTCTATGCAAAATGTATGCATATTGTACCGTATTTCATGGTATGAGGCAGAGAAACTGCCGGAAGCAACTTTTCTTCAAGTCTATGGTTAGACAGTTTGAATAAACGCTATTCCAGCCTCACATAAGGATCCCATACACAATTAGTCAATACTTCCCCATGAAAGAGATGTCTGATCATTACAGTTGTGTAGGGGAGTGCCTAAAATACTTTTCTACACCAATGGGAATTTCCCAATTTTTAGAGTCTGAAGACTCTAATGCTGCCTCAGTTCTCACTCCAGAAGTTCTCTTAACTGTCAGCAGCATTTCATAGATGTGACAAGCAGTGTTCCCTCTAAGCTGAGTTGGTGTGAGCTAGCTCACAGTTTTAGCCTCCAGCTCATAGATTTTTGTCTTCGGTCAGGAAGGATGGCCCCAGAACAAACTGATTTATGCAATAGCCAGATTGCTCGCTCACAACTTTAATGCCAGTAGCTCACAAAGTAGACGTTTTGCTCACAGGACTCCACAGCTTAGAGGGAACTTTGGTGACAAGTAATCGGGAACTGGATGAGGCTCAGGATTTGTATATGTTCAGATAAAAATTTGCAGTGGCACCAAAATAGGTATTTGCTGCCCCCTTGTGACAACAATTAAATATTTCTAACATTTCATTATCTGAAACTGACATAAGAAGAGCCCTGCAGTGTATCAGACTAATAGTCCATCTAGTCCAGCATTCTTTCTCACACAGTGGCCAACCAGTTCCTCTGGAGGGCCAACAAGAGGGCATAGAGGCCAAGGCCTTCCCCAATGTTGCCTCATGGCTCTGGGATTCAGAGGCTTAGTGCCTCTGCATGTGGAGGCTCCCCTCGGTCACCATGGCTAGTAGCCACTGGTAGTCTTATCCTCCATAAATCTAATCCCCTTTTAAAGTTGTTTATTCCTGTGGCCATCACTACATTCTCCGGCAGCAAATCCCACATTTTTATCCCTCTCTACGTATTTCCTTTTGTCCTTCCTGAACCAACTGCCCATCAGCTTCATCGGATGCCCTCAAGTTCTAGTATTTTGGAAGAAAAAGTTCTTTGTCCACTCTCTCCACCCCATGCACAATTTTACAAACCTCTATCATGGCCCCCCTTAGTTGTCTCTTTTCTGAACTGAAAAGCCCCAGACTCTTCAGCCTTTCCTCACAGGGAAGGTGCTCCAGCCCCCTGATCATCTTGGTTGCCCCTCCTCTGTACTTTTCCCAGCTCTGCAATGTCCTTTGGGAGATACAGGGACCAGAGCATTCCAGACGAGGCTGCAACCATCGATCTATAGAGGCATTACAATATTGGCTGTTTAATTCTCAATCCCTTTCCTAATAATCCCAAACATAAAGTTTTGCTTTTTTCACTGCTGCAGCACTCTGGGTTGACACCTTCACTGAGCTATCCACTATGACACCAAGACCTTTTCCCCTCTCACTTTCAGCAAGTTCAGACCCCAGTAGCCTATACTTGAAGTCTGGATTCTTTTTCTCCCAGTGTGAATCACCTTACACTTACCAATACTGAACTTCATTTGCCACACTGTCGCACACTCACCCAGTTTGTGGAGGTCCTCTTGGAGTTCTTGATAGCCTTGGTTCTCACCATCCTGAATAATTTTGTGCCAACTGCAAACTTAGCCACTACACTACTCACTCCTAGTCACTGCACTGAAATCCAGACCAAATAAAAAGAACTTACAGCACCTTCAAGGTTTGGCTCTACTCGTCCCCAAGCAAAGAGGAATCCAAAGTTGCCAGCAGCCATGAATATAGTCTTTCAACATGTCTTTACTTAACAAATGTGGTGTGTGTACTGCAGAAGGAGTTCTCAGTTGATCTTAAGGGATAACAACAGTGGCAAGTGAACAGAGCTTCCTGGAATTATACTGTAAAATCTGTGAGGAATGCTGATGAAATAGCATTTAAAAGGTGATATCATCAAGCACAGTTGGGTAGTCTGAATAGCAACTGGTGGGGGGGTGAGCTTGCCTTTCATGAAATTGCTGTCATAGCAAACACAAGCAATTGCCTCTGTCTTAAACATGGATACATTATATTGCATTCATCATGAAATACCTCCAATGGGCAACCATTATCATACAGTGTCCTGCAAACTTAAAAATCTTACTTGAGTTTGGGCATCATTTTGGGTTGCTATGGCCACCAAAATGGCTCATGAAAACTATGGAAGATGGAGACAGCAAGAATGGGAGACTCAAGGGAGGAGCTGCACCCAAGGGTAAAGGAGAAGAGACCTACAAGTAGTGGCAAGGAGAAAAGATTCTCTCTCCTGCAATTCCTCGCAGGTCCCTCGCTTGTGACTGAATTTCCTACAATGTAAAAAAGGATATTATCCATGCAATATTTGTTTAGGTGCATTTGTAAAAACAAATAAACAAAAACCCAGAAAATACCACACACTGCAGGCAAAGGTACATTCATAAACACCACCACATTCTTTCTGAATTGACTGATTGCTTTAAATACTGGGCTCTCCATGGAGGCATTATTATGGTTTAAGATTACTTTAATGTTCTTAATATACAGTATTAAAGAAGCATCTATAAAAATGTACTGCAAAGTAAACAGTGGGTCAATGAATGGAATGACACAAACAAACATTACTGTATGAGCAACTGTTATAGAATTTATAAATAGCAAAATCTTTGCATAAAGTATTTACATTTTAAAGACCTCTCTATAAACATATATATATAGTGTACCTAGGTGAGACACATGTAAATGTGTTCTACAATGCAACTTTTTAACATTAAATATAAGGTTAACTGACGGTACTCGAAAGGCCTTTGACTGTCTCCATTTATGTACATTCTATAGAAAAAAACACTTGCAAAGCTGTAATTTTACATTATTTCCACTCTCAAAATACATTTTTACACAGTATAGTTTAATGGCCTGCAGCACAGTGAATGGGAAAGCAGGCATTTCATGCTTTTTTCTATAATAATAAAAGATATTACATTTTTTTAACAATTGGTATATGGAGAGTGTGCATTCTAATAATATATATACACACACACACACACACACACACACACACACACACACACAACAGAACCTAGCCAAGACAATCATCCTTAATATCACTGTATTCTTAAAATACCTTGGGCCTTCTGATATATATACATCCATTATGCAATATTCTAAATGAACCTTGTTTAAAAAAAATAAAAGAAGTATTTCTATAAAGCACTAGGGTGCTTATACCGTAACAAATTTGGTTCCCAATCCCGAGTGCCTCCCAGCAAAATACAGGATGCACTCAGTTCCTACTTACTTAGGGACGATTTAATAACCCTCATAGCATAGCATGAACATGGTAAATACTGAATTTATAGTTGGAAACAATGATGCCCACCATAGCTGTAAAACACCTCACAACAACTTCAGCCACAAGAGAGTACTGGCTGCCTACAGCATTCTGCCATTTAGTGAAACAACTGCTGCCACATTCTGCTTCCCAGAGCTGGGGAGAACACCATTCCATGTATCTGGAGTATTCAGACTATTGGCATTCCACGTGGTTAGACATATCAGGAAGGATTTTTAAAGGACTATGATAAATGGTCATTTTCTTTATCACACTGCCAGAAGTCTTCAAAAGGCAGGTGGGAACAATGGCATGGCAAACCATAACCCAGATATGAGTTGTTACAGTAAACGTGACTGCTTTGTTACAGATTTAACACTTATGTGCCCAATCACTTATGCCCTGCCATGCTAAACATTATGTGAATCCACTGCTGTTACTGAAAAGTTTAGTGGAAAACTAGCCTAAGCTGTCATATTTAAAACCTCCCATAGAATCATGCCTATAAAGAACATACTAACAAAGGTATGACTAAGAATGCACTCGAAATTCCATTCCACCCACCCTGAACAGTACTATATATAAAGTGGATGGGCTGTAAGTGAAACTGGGCAGTCTGAAGAGAAACAATGGTCAATGAATTCATGTACTATGATGTTTTGAAGACGGCAAATTTTTGCATAGTATCAAAAGCCCAGTACAATTACAAGTCTGCCAGGAACTGGGTCCCTTCAGACAACCCAGTGCACAGAAAACCACTGTGCAGCAACTGTGAAAACCACTTTGTAGTAGAAAGAACAGTCGTTGGAATCCACCCTGACTAAACTCAGATATAATGGTATGAATGTACGAGGCTAACATAAAACAGTCTAGGACAGACGTAATTTCAAAAGGCCAGGTTTATACTAATCTTGCATATGAAAACAAATCTGGCAGTATTCTGTTAAATACCTTTTGGAGAATATTTCTAAACCAGCATTGATCGGCAAGAAACTGCTTAAAGGAAAACATAGGTATATAGTGCATTAAATAATGCTGATAGATACCATGAATAAAAGAATCAGTGAGACCCAATTCATAGATTAAACTTCACAATAAATATTTAACAGCCTAAGTGACTTGTACATGTATGTTTTAAAGCAAAATCGTGTATTGTGAAAATCTGCAGACATTTTGCTGTTCACTGTTTTACAAGATGCACTTTAAAACAATTAAGTAGGTAAGTCCATGAGTCCATGCTGAGTTCATGTCCTCCTTCTATATGACAGCTGAAGGCTATTTCACTACGAAAGGGAGGCCAATTCTCTCCTTTTGTTAACTGTCATAGGAACCAGTAGTCAAAGCCTCTTTGCCTCGTTCCAGACCTTTTTCACAAACAAGATCCAAAGTTGACTTTAGGAAAAGCCTTTGGAAACAACATGCTTTGGTGCTTATATTTCAAGGGAAAGTCATTGGACATGCAACTTCTTAGAAAAAAATGGGAGATTTACATGTTTAGATTTGCTTATAACGAAGCCCTGAGGTAATCTACAGAACAGTTTTTTTCAGGCAACAGTAATGCATCTTCTTTTTACCTTTTAAATAATTCTTCTTTAAAACCTTCTGTGGCATTCAGAATGTAGAACAGTCTACACAATCTATCTTGAGGAAGGGACCGGTCCCACTGATGATTGTGCCGCTTTTGTGTGTTTGTTCTCTTAGGCTAAGCTCTCAGCAGACTGGGCTAGTTTAGATACAGTTTCTTCAGTTTCAACTGAATTTCCTAGGTCTCCATTTTCATGGCCACCAGTACTTGCTTTCTTATCAAACACTGCCAAGAAGAATAAAAGTGTTAAAACCACTGTAGGTTCTTATGGTTTGCAGACAAAAAACCAACACACAGTTTTGCTGGTAAAAAATAAACCTGCATTTCTACTAAATGGGGAACAGTCATTCCTAGATTTCTGTAGAGGGTAGGCGCTTTTGTTGTTCAGTTGCACATTTGAGTCCGACTCTTTGCAACCCCATGGACCACATCACGCTAGGCCCTCGTGGCAGACAAAGCCAAAATGATATCTCCTATTCCTCAAAGGTGTTACTGGACTCAAATCTAGCTCACCTGTTCTCCAGTTACATGTGCTGTTGGAGGGTTGTAGGGATGAATACGCTTCTCCCCATCCTTCTCTCTTCATAACCAGTCCCTTAACTATCCAAACTATTTTGCTAGTGCTGGCAGCTGTGGCAAGACATTCCAACCAGCCCAAAGTACTTTGTGAAACTCCATGCAAACTACACAAGCACAGCAAGAAAATGCATATGCAGCATAACCAGATTTTGAGAACAGAGTTGCATCCTTATAACTAGATGAACTTGACTACTTTAGATGATATCTTTAATCATGTCACACAAAAAAGAGACACATGGAATAAGAGAGGGCTCTGCACCTTTTGCAAAATATATGCAATCAGAGCAACACATATTCAAGAACAGAATTTATTTATTTAAACATGTATTTCTTAGTTTGCTCACACACTGGGCACTGAGAGCAAGCCAAACCTGCTTCACAGCAGTATTATGGCCCAATAGTAAAGAGAAATCAATGACTGTCATCCTGACCCCCAACTTTGAAATCACTGTATCTGCCAAAGAAATATGTGAATTAACTTCATACCTTGTGCAACTGAAGTGGCACAACAGTTGGTCTAGTCTAATCTAGTACATTTTTTAAATTGTGCTCTCTTCTTATTAATAACTGCGTGAATTTTACCTTAATTAGTTTGCAGAAGGCTTTACCTTGCAAGGATCTGACATCTCCACTGCCATCCTTTCTACTGGAAACTGAATTTCCACCTTCTTCCAATTCATCAAGATACAAACGATAGCGATGACCACTCTCATCCTCGTATTCTACATTTTCATCATCTGAGTCTACTTCTGGAGCAACATACACAACTTCAAACTCAATTTCTCCTCTCTAAAGTAAAAAGAAATTACATCAGTTACTCCAAGAATAAATGCAATCTAGTTTAGAAAAAAAGGGAGTGGGAACTAAGTAGTCCATGTTAAATAGCAACGGGGTGGAACTCATTGATACTGTATGTATATGCACACACTAAAACCAGCAGCCATTACCAGTGATGACAAAATCTCTACGGTGAGTGGTTACGACATCCCCTTTTACATTTGAAAAACTGAGTTCACACCAGTTTTCAAATTCATATTGGTTCAAATTCATATTGTAACAACTGACATACCACCACCACACACATCTGAGGATGGCACACCATTGTGATGCAAGAGGTTCTTGTACTGGCAGAATGTGCTGCCCTTAGCTGCCCATGGTAGCAAAATGTAACTGTATGCTTTTATAGTACAATGTTTCACTCTTTTCACATTGCTACATCCACAGATCACATATGATCAAATAAAGCCTGCATGTAAACAATTCCCCATACAGTACAAATAAAGTGAACAATGATCATTCTTATTGACTGACTCTCCCATAATATTCAGACTACACTGTATAAATTAGCCTCAGAATTATAAGAGATTACATCATATTGATATAAAGCAGCAGTCACTGTACAACTTTGTCAAGCAGCTCCATTTCTCCTTTACCTCTCTTGGTGTCGGAGACCTACCTTCTTCCATATTTTGCACTAAAAGCAAGTAGGTAGCTTGTTGGTGCTCTGGAATAATTATGAAGCATGAGCAGAGCTGTGCTAAATAAGGGCAAATTTCCCACCTCCCTGATCCCACTGCAGTCTTCCATGCCTCCTAAAAATGTGCTCCATGCACCAGTGGATCTCCAGCAAAATCATGGAACTCAAAGTGGTGGTGGGCTCTAGAAGGAATTGGAAACTGACCAGATGACTTCCCCCTTTTCATGGGCACAAGTGCCTTCTGTGAAAATCAGGAGTATAAAATCCAAGCCCAAGAGTCTGAGCATTAAAGCAACATGAAAGAATGCCCACATTGCGTTATATACAGTGAAATTCCACCACTATCCATGTTATTCTGTAGGTCTATATGGTTTCTTATATTACAAACTACTTTGCTTTGATGTTCTATGGAACTATACTATGTTTTAAAAGTAAATTTGAAAAAGTAGCTGTGCTGTTTGCAATATGCTACCTTGTTAGCAGCCTTCTGTCTAAGGAGATAAGGTGGGATATATCTATTTTAAATAAACCAACAAACAATAAAGAAACAGAATTTGTGATAGGAAGTGGAATAAAATAAGAAGGCCTGAAACGGGTGCTGGGTCCCAAACTCTCAGCTGCTCTGTAGAAAATGAGCCACAAAGCTAACGGAAAATTTACCTTTTTCTCATTTGCATCCAATTCCCATGGTAACAGAAGTGAAGCTGCCCACTTCACTATCTTCATTTCATAATCATTAAAATTTCAACATGTTAAACAATGGGTGTTGAAATCACTAAAGCATAAAAGTTGAAGTTTAGGGCCTGTGAATAGTCCTGGATTGCACTGACATGAAGAAAGATGAATGAGTGGCAAATTTCCCCTGACTGAAATCTTCAAAATACCAGAAATTCTTAGGGACTTAAAGAGGGCTATTTTCCACTCCCCCCACTTTTTAAACCCTGTCACTGACCTTCAACTGCTCACAATATTCCAAGGGCAATGCCCATGCCAAGGTCTCAGGGAGCACTTTGTTTGGGGGGAGGGTACTTTTTAACTTACGAAGTACTGTTTCTGCAAACAGGGTGCTATGTAGAAGCCCCAATCACATCTCCACGGAAACCACCTTCACTGCCTTCAGGATAACTACCTTGAGGGTTGAATATGTATTAGACATAGAATACTAGGGACCAGCACCTGAGATCCACCCATGGAAAAAACCCTTGGGCACGATCACACACACAATTAGACCCGCCGTAGGCACAAATGCCAGGCAGATTTAAAGGGCGCGATCAGACAAGAACATCTGGGAAGCACCCCGCACCCATCGGCAACCCGTTTTGCTCCACCGCAGGAGCAGAGTAAAAAGACACTGAGGAGAAGTAAACGAGTTGTGACGAGCCACGGACGGACTTTCCCGTGTCTGATCACTCAAGTGGGCTCTCATGGTGTCGGGATGGTCTGATCGGGCCATCCCGACTCCATGCCATTGTTTCCCCCCCCCTTCACAGTATGCGCATCATATAGAACTCCATAGGGAGCCTTCAGTGCGGAGATGCGATTCATCGATTCCTCGCTGAAGCGCATCGGAAACAAACAGCAAAAAAAAAACCCCCGACTCACCCGCGGTTGCATCTGATAATGCAGTTGCGGGCTGTGCCCGCAGCATCCAAGGACTGTGTGATCATGCAACTGCAGGTCAAATTCCTCTGGAGGAAATAGCCCCACTTCCCCCCCACTTTATCTCACGCGTGTGACAGCCTCTCTTCTCTGTCCAGGATTCCATAAACTCTTAGGGGTTCAAAAAGGCTCATTTGATTATTCTCTCTGTTTTACTCTCTCTAACTGACTCAGCTCCTCTCATTATTCATATTTCTTGGTGCACAGACAGTTGTCTTCAGGCTGGCTACCTCCACTCTCTTTTGGCTGACTTAGGAATATTTTTCTGTCTAGCTAAAGCATCCTTCTAGCATATAAAAACCACTACCTTCTCTGTGGGAGGCCTGTTGCTTTTGGAGACTGAACAGACCAACCACTTTACTATTAGACACAGGACTGGATCCTTGAGGTAAATTTCTGTCAACAGGAAGGAGGGCATTTTTTCACACATTTCCCTTTTGCTGCAGACCTCCAACTACCCACTCATTCCATTTTGAGGAGTTCTGTCCTGCAGGAGCAGCATGTTGGGGGGCAACTGGGGCTGCAAGGAAGCCCACTCCACTGATGGAAATCCCTTCTGTCACTAGAGACTTACTGCAGGATCCAATCCACAGAAATAAGAACAGCTATACAGTGGAATAGTAAAACTATTCCTCTAGTGAAAGTATCACTGAATCAAATGATGGGGTATATGCAATCACCAGCGGGTATGCCAAATGGCAGCACACAAGACCATTTTCGTCAGCATTGCAGCAACCTTCTTCCACCCCAAAAGCTGGGCGCAGCTGAACTTAGCCACACTGTAAAACAGCTCCAGAACATTTTATGGACCCGCAGTGCTGATGTCATCAGAGTTCCTTCTGGTCCAGTCGAAATAGTTGGTGTCATCATTTGCAGCAGTACTGCTGTTCAGTGTTCACAGACTATGAGAATGTTGCCAGCTAGACATGTGCTACCCACTGTCTTTGAAGAATGGAAGCCAAAACTGCCCGCCCAGCAGTATTACCCTATTTTTTCTTCCCCCATTCTCCTTGCCAGCACACCAACATTTTCACAGGTAGTTGTTCAATTCAATTCAATTCAATTCCCTTTATTGGCATTGACATTAAAAAGAGTAATATACAAAATATAAAGTAAAGAACGAATACCAATCAGACAGAAAAACATTCTAAGATAGTCAAAAATCAATGTAAAACAAATCTCAATTTCATATCTCCTGAATCCAAGTCTTGTATTACAATACAGTACTACAAATAAAAAGAGCAGCCTGCAAAAACTCTGCCACAGAAACGGTTATATTTTCATCATCGCTGTTTAGCAAATAAAGCAATTTGTGTGAGTCAGGAAGCTCTATGATACCACCAAGTAGTGACGATAAAATGCGGTGTGAAATATTGTCATAGTAATGGCATTCCAATAACACATGAGACACCACTTCAACTGACCTGCTTGCACAGGGGCATAGTCTATTCAAAAAAGGGATACTATTAAACCTCCCAGTTAAGATTGCTGAAGGGAGAGCAATGAACCCAGCAAGTGTATGTAACGCTGGAGTCTGAAGTTGGTGAAAATAGCTAGCAGGATGACCCACAGTGGGCAATATCCCATGACTTAGAGGGGAGCATGTCTTATTAGCTGCATTGTACAGTTCAAATAGCTCTGCCTCAAAAACTCTGTCCCTTATTGTTTGCATTGCCTCCAATTCAGAAAGAAAGAGTAAGAATTCGAAAGGGATATTCAGTGTCCGTAATTTATTTTCAATAACCACCAACCAAGGGAAGTAGTTAGATAGAGTCAAAACTTGGAAGCAGTATCTAGAGGGATCAGATCTATAATGTAATCGAAGCCAAAACTTAAAAGTCATTAACCACGCCCTTGTAGTCATAAGGCTTTGGCCACATTCTAGGCATAAAGCCGCATACAGGACACAAGAAGGAATACCCAAGATTTTCCACAGAAAAACTGAATGTACCTGTTGCACATCATTCAACACTCACGTTAAAAAGTCCACTTACCACTATGATAAATCTTACAATAACTGACCATAAAGTATGACTCCAGTGGCACCTTTAAGACCAACAAAGCTTTATTCAAGGTGTGAGTTTCCATGTGCTCTCACACTTCCTCAGACACACTGAAATGGAAGTTATCAGTCCATACATATACATAGAGCATGAATGGCAAATCCCCCCCCCCCAGTGATTGGCTGAGAAAATACCTGATAAATACCGATAAAGTATTTATCGGGTATTTTTTCGCCTCAGTTTATACCAAGCACACACCCCTGGTAGCCATGTAGGTCTGTAGCATAAGAGCTGGATTCAAGTCCTCAAGCACCTCAGAGACCAACAAGATTTTCAGCGTATAAGCTTTCAAGAGTCAAAGCTCTCTTTGTCAGAGCCTTGACTCCCAAAAGGTTATACCCCCAAAATGTCTAAGGTTTCTAAAGTACTACTGGATTCAAATCTAGCTTAATAAATGACTATGTAACATATGTCCCCAGAGACTCTAAATGTATAGACTCTATTGCTCAGCTTCAGTCTTATTTTACAGGAATACTCTATGGATGTAAATGCCTGGTGTAAAATTTGTTAATTTTAGAAATGTGATCTTTTGGGGGTGAAAGAGACTCCAGGGCTGATGGAAGTTTTACTCTCAGTGCTTCAGCACCTGAATAACACAACAACCTTCACTCCTGCATATCCAGCATATCTTTCCTCTTACCTTTCCTCTTAGCACTTATTAGCTGCATTGTACAGTGTGAAGAGGCATATAATAGCTACTCAAAATGCTGAAAATAACAAAGCATTCCAGAACCTCCAAAATACAGGTCACCAGACACACGCATGCATATTAACAGTCCAGAATTAGGGAATGCCATAATAATTACCTGTTGGGAAAGAATAGTTACAGCTTCTTTATGTTTGGCATCTCTCAAATTAATTCCATTTACCGCCAGAATTGCATCTCCAACATGCAGCCCTCCGCATCGATCAGCAGGTTGACCCGGGTGAATTTCAGAGATTAGGATGGGAACACCATGCTCCTTTCCACCCTATGACAACAACAAGCCAGTGTTTTCAGCCGCTTCAAAGTATCTGCCAGCCTAGAATTGCCTGTATTCTTTAATTCAGCTTTCAAAACTAAACAACTTACACTGTTATACATCAAACATGTTAATAAAATAATGTCTTTAGTGTTCTGTGTTTTGTATGCATCACAGAGTGCTTAAGGTGGAGTACTTGCACAAATCTATCATCAGATAGGAGTTCTTTAGCTCTTCAGCTTGGAGAAACGACGGCTGAGGGGTGACATGATCGAGGTTTACAAGATTATGCATGGGATAGAGCAGATAGAGAGAAGTACTTTTCTCCCTTTCTCACAATACAGGAACTCGTAGGCACTCCATCAAATTGCTGAGCCGTCGGGTTAGAATGTATAAAAGGAAGTACTTCTTCACCAAAAGAGTGATTAACACATGGAATTCACTGCCACAGGAGGTGGTGGTGGCTACAAGCATGAGCGGCTTCAAGAGGGAATTGGATAAGCATATGGAGCAGAAGTCCATCAGTGGCTATTAGCCCCAAGGTACAGATAGGAACTCTCAGTCTGGGGCAAGTGGGGGGGCAACAGTGGGAGGGCTTCTAGTGTCCTGGCCACACTGCTGGACCTGCTGATGGCACCTGGTATTTTTGGCCACTGTGTGACAGAGTGTTGGACTGGATGGGCCATTGGCCTGATCCAACATCAGTTCTTACGTTCTTCCAGCATATTTCTAAATCTACAAACATTTAACATATACAGTGTAAACTGGTGCAACAGGAAATACAAAGTAACATTTGTGCAACTTTTGCAAAAGCACTCTGAATACTGTGAATAGAAAAAAGGAAATGAATTCATTTATTACGGTAATTGAAATGCCCAGTCCTTCATGATCTTCTTTCACCAAGAGAACTTTTCTGATTGGACCAACTCCTTGACTCTTCTTTAAGGAATCTGGGTCCTAATTTCAAAGAAATTAAACATGATTGAGAGAGTGTTTTCTTAAACTTTTCAGGAGAATGGCATGACAGAAAGTATTACATGCTCAGTTGTTCCAGATCTAACTAAAACTGGGACTTGCTCAAGTTAAGAGATTTTTCAAAGTGCACCTCTGCAGTTTAAAAATCTTTTGTCAATTTCATTTCTGCTTCCTAGAGTTCAAATTGCACTCCTACAAACTAACACAGTAAAATTACATTCAGATGCCATGGCAAGCCAACATTAACTCAATGCAAATGAACTTGGATTTTTACTGGGTTTGCACACACATGTCCCTACTCACACAGAGGACTCAGAACAGACAATACTGACTTTGATACACTGATGATTTTGCCCAGCATAAGGCAACTTCATGTACGTTTTCCAAGTTACAAAATAAAATTTAAATGGCTAAAAAAGGTTATTTATAAGTCAGGGCTTTTTGCTCATTAGAGAGATCCAAGTGAAATCCTGTGCTGCAGTTTCTCTATAGAACAACTTGCATGTCATGATTCCCAGAAAGACCCATACCCTGAGAAATAATTGGGCATTTTAATGTATAGTTAAAAAACACTGAAACATCTGAGAGTGGGATGCCTAAACTAAGGTTCCTGCATTTACACATTTAGATGGATACTGAAAGTGACCTTCTCGAATGCAATGGTAAATTCAGAGAAGTTGGAAAATACAAACGCTTTGCAATGTTCGGCATTGGAAACTTGATGGTGATTTGAACTGCAATGAACCAAAACAAAATTGTCAGCTCATGAACAAAGGTACAAATACAACCAATATAGCTCTCTAAGGGTCAGTCCATGTGTTGACTAAGATCAGAAAACTTACATGTCCTGGGGGTGCTTGCATTGGTCGCTTTAGGTCATTACGTCCCCGGCATGCTCTGATCACAGTTTTGTGCCGATGCAGATGGATTTCTGCTTCCAGCTGGTTCCAGAGTTTATCATGAGCAGGCCCCTTCATATCTCTACCTAGCAACTGAATTTGCTGAACCCTACAAAATGAGAAAGGCACATGATCCATATTAAATGATTTGTTCAGAAATGATAGGTTTCAATTCCAGGCTCTCAATCTCACTCGACTGCTTAATTCACCTAGCAAAATAAACATAGGGTTCCCTCCCACACTCTGTTTCGTGCACGTTTCTACTGAGACCCCCTTCAAATCAAGATGCTCACCCTCTCCCACTCTCAAAATTCTCTATACCATCCCAGAGTAAAAGAGATAGGCATGCTTATACTATACCCTTCTACTGTCCTCACATTTACCTCAGAACACCCAGAGGTAAACCATTACCAGGACTGCGGATGTGCAAGGAGGGAGACAAAATCCCTAGAGGCCCTGGTCACATTTGCAGTTGGGCAAATCATGTGGTTTACTTTCTTGATTGCATTTGGTCTGGGTGATGGGAGCTCAGACTGGGGAAAAGAACCCAGAGAGAATTGCGGTTTAGAGGCCCATGTCTTAGCAGCCCAGGACATACTTTTATGTCTTATAAAACAATTACCTTGTGTCCTATAAGACAATTAACTATACAACAACTGATTCGAAATTTCATTGGAACACCTTCCCTATGAGGAAAGGCTGAAGAGTCTGAGACTTTTCAATTTAGAAAAGGGACAACTAAACAGGGGGATGATAGAGGTTTATAAAATTATGCATGGGGCGGCAAAAGTGGACAGAAATAATTTTTCCTCACTCTCCCAAAATACTAGAACTCAGGGGCATCAAATGAAGGTGATGGGCAGCAGATTCGATGGACAAAAGGAAATACATTTTTACACAGAGAGTGATTAAATAAGGAATGTGCTGCCAGAGGATGTAGTGATGGCCACAGGAATAGACAGCTTTAAAGAGGGATTAGACAGATTCATGGAGGATAGGTCTACCAGTGGCCACTAGCCAGGGACTGAAGGGAACCTCCACGTTCAGAGGCACTAAACCTCTGAATCCCAGAGCCAAAAGACAACATTTGAGGAAGGCCTCGACCTCTACGCCCTGTTGCTGGCTCTCCAGTGGAATTGCTTGACTAGATGGACCACTGGCTGGACTCTTCTTATGTTCTTATGTTGTGAGTACTGAATTTTACACACCTTCCTGCTAGCTCTTTATCTAAGTATTTGGCTGCAAGTCTTGCCCCATATACTTCAGCCTGGAGCACAGCTATGTGTCGGCGAAGAGCTTCATTTTCTTTCCTAAGCAGCTTCACCTCAGCTTCGAGCTGAGCTTCTTTCACTTTTTCTTTCTTGTTGGCTTCAAGTTCTCTTTCCTATCAAATGTAAAAAGTCCAGTTATTTTAGTCACAAACGAAACTTTCTTTTGTAAAGGACATGAACATTGCAAGCATATCAGTAAGTCTTCTGTGTCTCAGAAAAAGAAGCCACAGCACACAGTAATTGTCTTGTCATATTGGACGGTAACCTCTCTATGGGTCAACTTATCCAAGAAAAAGATTCACATTTATAAAAACAGCCCAGCAAATAAAAACAACATTTACAAGCCCACAAATAAAAGTTCTGCCAGATCAACTGGCCATATATATTTCCACATCATGATGCAGTTTGAATCACAATTCTGAAAAACAAATCTCCCACCTTTAGTATATTGGCAACTACAAGCTGCGCAGAAACTGCACAATTAAGTGGAAGGACATTCTAGTCTCTTTTACCAGACAAGGGTCACTGGACTATTGCACCCTCAACATCGACAAAGAACACCACGTCAAGAAGAAGGCCTGCCTGAACCCAGCGCCATCGAGGAAAAGCAGCTGCAGGGGGCTTGTTTCACCACCCCTGCTAGAAAGAACACTTCTCTGTCCTCTAATTCTCCTGCTGCTGTGTAAGTGATGGGACAGACATTGTGGCCTCTCCCACTGAAAAGCTGCACCCCATCCTTTCTGGGAAGAACACCAGCAAGGGAAGAACAGCTGGGCTCCAACTGGATATAAATGCTCATTTTGTTCTGATCTCTCTCAATGTTTTCCCTCCATTCCCTTCCCTGGTAGAGTTTATCTTTTTAGTTTGTAAGCTTGAGGGCAGTGACCAGCATGATATGACTGAAATGAGCTGTTTTGGAAGATAACTGTTGTCTGAAAATCAGGATACAACTTAATAAATACAAAGCTATAATCATATGAAAGTATTCCAATGGCCCAGGAGACCGTTTAGGATAATACACTATGCATTAGTAGTTAAAAATATGGTCAAAGAAAATAAAAGTGTAAAGGAATTAGTAAGCATCTAGATTACTAAATCTATTTGTATAAAAATAGTTCATACACAGAAAGATTTTAAATATACAGCCAATGTATTTCATTTGTAAATCAGAGTCCCACTTATTCCTAAAAAAATCTTCTTATGGCCTGGATTCAAATAAGAATTTCTGCAAACAGAAGGATTTCAGTCCCTCCTCCCAGGGCCATTTTGGCTGCAATGAGAGGGGAGAAAAGGGAAAGTTGCACTTCACAGAAATCCTCCAGTGGATTCAAACTCATGTTGCTCTTAACTTGTATGTAACTTTTTAAAACTTTGAAGGATATTTTAAACCCAGTCTGGAAGACAGAGTTACAAAGAAGGTCCTGAGAGGTTATAATTTAAAGAGCGGGAAGAAGCAACTAAGGTGATAGAATATGACTGAGATTTATACTATTACAAGTAATATAGAGACAACAGTGCTGGACAAGGGATGTTTTCCTGACCAGAAAAGAACTCCACTATACAAAAAGCAACTTAATAATTTTGAAAAAGTGTCTATCGACTCTATCCAAATGCAATCTTGAGAACACTCTCCTGGGAGTATGTTTAGGTTTGTTCTCTATGATTCATTACTCCTTGTTGGACTGTGATAAGTGGACAGATGTGCCACATCACAGCTCCCGGTTTTCAAAAGCACTTTGCTGTACAGTCTGGGGAGCTGCTATGTGAAAAGCCCAAGTTCAAAGCCCAAGAGCGTCACAGAGTTCGAAGCCTGGATCATGACCACTGTTAATTTAAAACAACCTGCCAAGTTTGAATTCAATTCCAATGCATTCAAAACTTTCAAATTAGCCACAAACAGCAGCAACATAGACATAAAGAGGAATATCAGAACTAAAAGGAGCACTGAACAGAGCTAACGGCTTAGAAATGGGGGAAAGAATCTAACTAAGATTCAGTTGCACTAAATATCCAGGCCACTATGTGTAACTCTCTGAGCAAAACTAATGCACTGAACGCAAACACAGATAAAGGCAGCCAGCAAACTTACCATATCCTCCACAGAAGGGACAGACTTAAGACAGGAGAAAAAAAGTTTCAAGATTAGAAATACTGGCAAAAATGGCAAACTTAACAGAAAAAGGCCACACATTAGCTGACAGGGCTTTTTGTATTCCAAGCTTTTTTTTCTTTTTCTTTTTACTAAGCATGTTACAAAAAATAAAGATGCAGTCCATACACAAGCCCAAGTAGCACAATTTGTACTGACATCTGAGGGAACATGTACAGGACTGGCTGCATGGGTACTTCAGAACACAGAATTTCTCATAGAAAATGGGATCTTTTTCCCATTTTGGGAGGGGCAAATTCTTCAAATAGATGGCAAATACTTTTAAGGTTTTTTTAAAAGGAGCCAAATTTCATGTAATTACTGAATTGTTTTCCTATGAAAACACATGATACGCCAAGAAAACATCAAACATTGCTACTGATAATCTATGTACCTAAACCTGCATTGTAACAAGCACATCTATAAAAGGTCTTCTAATCTCAATTTGTGTACGCAGAATTACATAGTTTAATCTGTGCTTTTATGAACAGTAACTAGATTTAAATGGCATTTTTATCTGGAAAAATTTAAGTGCTTTTAAGTTACAAATCACACCACAACAGTTCACTATCCCTCCCACTGTCAACAAGTAAATATAATGGCTTGCAAAATACTTAAAAGTAACACAACTCCCAAAACTGCTATAATGGAACTGTCTGAACTCTCGGCTCAGGGATGATCACTGCTACAAGACTCAGAAACTTTAATTACATTAAAATTCGTCCACACCGATATAAAACGGTACACTCATATGCTAAACATGCCAGCTTTTGCCAACGTCAAAACTGTTTATTTTCTGTAAAGGTAATTTTCCTTCAGTTGCTGTGACAATAAGAACCATCAGTAACTGAAAGTGCTACAGCAGTTTCAAGATGTTCATTATGTGAACCTGATTTGGTTCCAGTGTATTACTATAATGGGAAATATTCTACAATTCAGATTCCTGATATGATAATATAAGACCTACCAGAGATAGCCTTGGGCTGAATGGGAAATTTGTATTGGCTAGGTTGGCATTACAACAATTTATAGAAGGGCCCAAACTCAAGTTTTAGGAAACAGCCAGCCCTGGAACAATATGCACTGCTTGTCCACCTATGTGCCCGGAATTAAACAACTACTAGTTTGTAGCCTAGCAAGGGATGGCTGCTAGAAATGCTCTCTTTACTGGCCTGACAGCCCAATTTTTGAGGGTAGTTCATTAAGCGTACAAAAAAATATTACTGAAGCCTTGTTAATGTAGTGAAAAGTATTAACTGCAATTTTTCTAAGATTTTTTTTTCTAAAGAAAGCTATTTGAGAATGCAGAGGAGAAATATGGCCCAGGTCTCCCGCAGACATTTCTATTAACGATGCATAGCACCTTTTTAAAGTTATTACACATTTTGCAGAAACGATATACTACCTTCAACACCCTCAAAAAAGAAAGCGAGGGAACATTTATAGTTAAGATCTTGGCACTGTGTAGCACTATATTTAATTGCTTTAAAGTCAGCTGATTAATTACTTATTTCAAATATGCAGCTGGGATCAATCTTAGGCTTACCAAGGGGTTTGTACTAGCCCAACAGAAGTTTTGATTTTCTTTAAGTAACTAATCTACATGCCGTAGCAAATTGTTTTTGAAGTTCACCATGTGGAATGAAATGCTGCTGTTTGAGAAAAAACCTTTGAACCCCCCCCCCTTTGTTTCACAGATTTTATATCATCATTCCTTGTACCCTGGTTATAGACATTTCCATGGATAGGCATTGATCTTCTAAACAGCAAGCCTATCCAAGAAAGAGGTATCCACTTGGATCAGTACAATATCCCAAATCTTGCAGAATACAGCCCTGAGTAAAACCTAATGAATTAATCTCAGAAGTGAATGTTATCATCTTCGTTAGATACATTAAGCAGTACTAGGCAATCACTTGGGAAAGCAGCAGAGGTATTCAAGTAAGAGATAGCAAAGAAAGCCATTCAGAAATAAAATACAAATCCCAAGATGTAAAACTAATTCTAAGAATTCCTTCCATGTTTTTCTTACGTTACTATAAAACAAAAGAGACTGCGCATATTATAAAGCATTTTTAAATTTACTTAAAAGCTGCAATTTCCTTTAAGTATCACATTCTAATCAAAACTCCAAACTTTAACAATGAACCTAATTTCTGGTGTTACAGTTCTCTCAACTTTCCCAGACAGTAATTTCTTTTGACATTTTTTAATAACCATAAATATTTTTCCAGTCATTCTGAGCTTCCTAGCTAGAATGAAAACAAAGGATACACATTCTATTCACACACATAAACTAAATAAACTGGAGTAATGACTATTTTGAAAAATGCAACTGCTCTTTACTCAACATGACTCACCAGTTTTGCCTTTATTGCTCCTGAGTCAACACTCTGACCGGTCTTGGCATGGAGCTGAAGCTGAATGGCGTGGAGTTGTAGCAGTTGGTCATGCACCTCTTTTTCTAATACTGCTTTTTCAGCTCGTGTTTCTGTCAGCTCTGATTTCAGATCTACCAGCTGGGCCTGGAAGATAACATACAGTTCAAGAACCAGTAAATCGGTAGATTTAGTGATACTTACAGTGCTAAAATACAGGGAAAAGTTATCTCACTGCAAATGTTCCTATACATGTCGAATAATCATAGACGGACAATAATTACATTCTCTATACAAACATGCACAAAAATCCTGGTGTCACATGATAATCCTCTTAAGGAGCTGGCGGAATTCCTCCACAAGGCAGGTTCACAAAATCACTTTGTGAAATGCTTTTTTCATCTGCGTAAACTCCTTCCTCCTAGGAATCTATTCATGGCAAATGGCCACATGAATCAGCCAACATCAGGGCAGAATGACAGTAGCATGAGCAATTGATTCTATAGTTTTCTTAATCCACCTTGTATGTGACTCAGTATTGTCAATCCCACACAACAGAAAATGTACAAGTCTTCATAAAGCGTCAAAATGCTTTGTAATGTCTTCCTAATTGATCCAGATTGAGCACTTCTGCTTCTCCACTTTCTTCACTAAGCAATGATAAATGATCAAGAAGCAACTGTTCAACATTAATCAGTTTTGAGATTATGGAATAAACAGACCGAGCCATTGCTCAATACGGAATGCTTGGAGTAACAGAAATGCATTACATTCTGGAAAAGAAAAAGAATGTTTGTGTTTAAGTTCCAAACAAGATTGAAAAATCATATTCTAACCGATGGAAAGGCAGAAGAATTCTAACACTCAAATTGGTTTGAATTTCTGAATAATAATCTGCTTCATTAATTAAAGATCTTCAGCTGGAACTGCATTTTAGCCTCTTTCTGTAGGGATTTTGAGCAATCTAATAAATCACAAATATTCAAGTAGCCTTTAGGACATAAGAAAGATAAGTCTTAAAAACTTGCTTTCCCTTTATAACAGTTAAAGATCAATTCAGATTGATTACGTTTCAGAAAGATATTTTAAAAGTAATCATTTCTGGGACCAAAATTCATAGGAATTACTGCTTTGTGTATGCTTAATGGCACATCAAGACTATAATACCACAGCAGCTTACCCTATCCCTCACTATATTTAGGGAGTAACTGAAGGTACATACTGACCTTTAATTTACTTTTTTCCTCACTTGGGGGGGGGGACTAATCTCTAAGTACAGTGAGATACAAAATGTGTACTTTATCACCACAAGAGACAGAAGTCCTAACAGTCTCAACAATGGCAAAGTGCTATAATTTATTATCACTGTTTTCTTTTGTGTTGATTACTCTTCTGCAGCTGCAAGAATTTAGAAGAGACACTCCTCCCACTGCAAACAAGAATGACTGAGCAAATCTTGCTGTTATAATTGTCATCTTGGACAAACATACTGCTGAAGGTATGATTAACTGTCAGGATGCCAAACGTTAAGAAACTGACTTGTTAAGTAAGACTGCTTTCCTCACAACAAAACATATGAGAATTTTATATTAATTACAGGAATCACAGTGGGGAAGATAATACTGCCACATGGGTTAGCAGGGAACATTTGGGTAGAACATTCAGAAAACAATGTCAATCTGGAAATTAGATTTAGCCAATATCTGGCTACCATGAAAAATGGCTGAAATTTATTTTAAGCTTTACTGCTCACTAGAACTGATTTTGACCCATACTGTTGAAGACCTGCTTTCACTTTTTAAAAATCTCTATAGACTGCAATAAGATTTTGATTAAGACAGAAACCTGTGTGCTTCCACCTTTCCTAAAGACAAACATGGCTGATGCTAAGTCATTATGACCATATCTGCGCAAAAGCTGCTTTAGGTCCACTTCAAAACTATGTTATACCAGGAATAAGGCCCACTGTGGAAATAAATACAATGAGCGCTAGAAAGAGGCTCTGGGAAAGTGCCAAGGCTCACAATCAATTTGCCATGGCAACCTCAGCAGGGTATAAGGACACAGAGTCCACCATTTTCTCCAGGGGAACGGATCAATGCCATCTGGAGAGCAGTTGTAATTCTGAGTGATCTCCAACCCTCAGCTGGATTTTGGCAACAGTGGTTCCCCATTACACAATGGCTAGTTTGGAGGGCAGAGTCTATGGCATTGTACCTGTCTGAGGCCCCACTCCTCCTCAAACTTCCCCCTCTCCAGGCTCCATCTCTCAAATCTCCAGCATTTCCCCACCTGGAGTTGGCAAACCTATCTACTTCCCAGCCAAGCATCAACCTACCTTCATTTCCCCCTCATTGGTCAGCTTTCCATCTCCCCCTCACCAGCAGCCCCCACCATGCTCTGAAGCCCTGATTGCCACATAACTCTGACTGTCATAGGGGGGGCAACTCAGCAAGGTATAAGGACACAGCGTCCACCAATTTCTCCAGGGGAACTGATCAATGCCATCTGGAGACCAGTTGGAATTCTGAGTGATCTCCAACCCTCAGCTGGATTTTGGCAACAGTGGTTCCCCATGAAATAATGGCTGGTTTGGAGGGCAGAGTCTATAGCACTGTACCTGTGCTCTGTATCCCTCCTCAAACCTCACCCTTTCCAGGCTCCATCCCTGAAATCTCCAGGAATTTTTCACCTGGAGTTGGCAACCCTATCTCCTTCCCAGCCAAGCATCAATTTACCTTCATTTCCCCCTCACTGTTCAGCTTTCCATCTCCCCCCCCCACCTGCAGCCTCTACCTGGAGTTGGCAACCCTATCTCCTTCGCAGGCAAGCATCAATCTACCTTCATTTCCCCCTCACTGTTCAGCTTTCCATCTCCGACACACACACACCTGCAGCCTCTGCTGTGCTCTGAAGCCTTGGCTGTCATGGGGGGAGGGGCCTGTCAGCAGGGCAGAAGGACATAATGAGTTTTCTCCCAAGCCCCGAATAGGTGTTCGTGAGTGCATGGGTTTGTTTGGGGGGGGGGGGGGAACTCAGCAGAAATTTCCAAGCCTGGAGCTGGCAATCATACTCAGGACTGGGCCCAATGAGTTTTTCACAGAGTCGTAGAAAGGGTTTTGTTCCTTTGTCTATTTACTGGCAGAACCAAGCTTGGTTGCCTACCAACAGCCACTGAGGGAGAAGTTAGAATGCTTTGGCCGGTGGCCTCTATGGCATTCTATTCAGCTGAGGCCTCCCCTCTCCCCTCCCCAAACTCTGGCTTCCTTACCTGGAACTGGCAACCCTATGAGTCCTCACAACAGCCACTGGGGGAAACCTTTGTCCCACACTCAGGAGCTAAGCAAGAGAACTGTGTTCCTCAGGAGACACAGAGCTTCTGACAGAGAACAGTGCCTAACAGGCGAGTGGGCGGGGAAGAGGAGCACACCCGGCCAGTGGCACGGCAGTAGTCTTGACTGGCAGCCGGCAGGCCAATGGCTGAGGGAGCGCATGCAATCTCGCCACCCCATAGGCCAGAAGCCACTACCATTCGGCAAATATATATGAGATCCCAGCCAGTCATCAGGTGTCTAGAACATTCAGATCTAGATAACATACTGCATACTCCCCAAAAAACATTTATTGTGTAAAGTTAAAGGTCCACAAATTAAACATTCACAATTGCCTTTGAATGCATTACACACACAAAGCAGTTATTTAAACCAACACCCAAGAGTACACAATAAGATCCAAACTCAGGCAAAACCTCACTGGCTAGAGCAGTGATGGCGAACCTTTTAGAGACCGAGTGCCCAAACTGTGACCCAAAACCCACTTATTTATCACAAAGTCCCGACACGGCAATTTAACCTAAATACTGAGGTTTTACTTTAGAAAAAACAACTCATACATTAACTTAAGATGATACAAACAAAGTAAGGAAAGCAATCCCAAATGCTTTCATTTACTTAAAATTATTTGGCAGAGAATTCGACACTTTAATGATGGTCTGGGCCTGGCTGGGGCAATGGCACGCGTGCCCACAGAGAGGGCTCTGAGTGCCACCTCTGGCACCCGTGCCATAGGTTCGCCACCACTGGGCTAGAGCCTTGGGTATGCCACCTAAGCATGTTTTTTTTTCAGACATGTCCCATGGATCTCAATGGGACTTACTCCTTAGTAAGTGTGCTTACAAATACAGCCTATGTTTGAGTTCCCTACTTTTAAAATGAACCACCTCAGAATTATTGAGATGATCACTTTGCACAATAAAAGTGCTATACAAATAAATAGCAATATGTTTCTAACATACTGCAAAGTATTTCAATACCATAATCAAGATGGAGAGGTTTTAACTTACCACTACAGCCCAAGCTGCAATAGCAGAAATCACTGGGATATAGAAGTGTACGTGTATGTATGGGCACTTTATAAAGAGGTATAATTCAAATCACTCTCACCATTCTCAACCCATTTATTGTTAGATACCAGCTAATCTCTCCTCACGGCCCTCATCAACAGGGCCAGAGAACAGCTAGCAGTACAAATTTCTCTACAAGTTACTCACTGTCAGTTGAAGGAATCTGTACTACTCTTTTAGAGGAGTGGTTTCCTTTCCTCAGAAAAGTGATTAACATTGGGATAAAAACTAAATCCACATATATACTGATGGAGTCTGGTGGACAGCTCACTGAAAATGCCAAAGTGGAGCAGTCATAAAACCAGCAAATTCCATGTTAGGGATTATTAGGAAAGGGACTGAAAACAAAATGGCTAGTATTATAATGCCTTTATATAACCAATGGTGTAGCCTCATGGGGAGTATCATGTACTGTTCTGGCCATCCCACCTCAAGAAGAGTATTAGAACTGGAAAAGCTATGTAAGAAGACAATCAAAATGTTCAAAAGGTTGCAGCATGTTCTGGGGAAAATGGGGGTGCATTAAAAGATGATTAAGAGAGGACATGACAGAGCTTTATGCATGAAGCAGAAAGAATGTTTTGTCTACATTATAAAACTACATATCAGGATATCCTGAAGAAACTGGTTTCCAGTAGATTAAGGTCAGAAAAATTAAGTATTACTTCATAACACAATTAATTTATGGAGTTCACCACAGGATATGACCATGGCTATAGTTCAATGCCTATTAACCATGTTGCTTTACTGTTCAGATAGCATAACTCTGAACAACAAATAAATAGAGTCATGTTCCAGTCAATGCTCCCTCTAAGCTGTGGAGTCTTGTAAGCAAAAATTCTACTTTGTGAGCTACTGGCTTTAAAGTTGTGAGCAAGCAATTTGGCTGCTGCGTGAATCAGTTTGTTCTGGAGCCATCCTTCCTGAGCTAAGACAAAAATGTGTGAGACAGAGGCTAAAAAACTGTGAGTTAGCTCACACTAACTCAGCTTAGGGGGAACACTGGTTCCACTATATATTCTCTGTGTGGGACAGTGGTCAGCCTTGATGAGCCTAGCTGCTGCTCTACATGAACTGAAAATGTATCAAACCCTAACCCTAACTCTGTGCTGCAGAAACAACACAGGTGTCTTTCCTACCACTGCTGATTTTCTCAGTTGGAGTGCTCAGACTTTAAAGACTTAAAAAATCACTGTACAAATTGCTGCATTTGTAACCAGTACTGCAGTTGACATTCATTTGAAGCAAGAAATACAAACATCTTTCCTCAAATAAGGTAACCACTGTCTAACATTACATCTCTCCAATGCTAACTGAGCCAGTTCAGGGATATAAATTTTGAAAATAATAAATAAATCATGTGTCTCCTCTAGGTCTGGAAAAATTACTGTGGTGAAACATGAGGATGCTTTATCAGAAGAAATAAAAGTCTACTCGCATTTCTGTTCAAGAATGGTCTATTCTGGATGAACTTTTCCACACCCTAGTAAAATTCTAGAAAAGTGTTGCTAAAACGACAGAACACCAATAACTGATACAGAATCACTCTATAACTGTTACTGGTTGTTCTTTAATTTGGTTCCTTTATTCCAACATGCACATATCTATGCCTGCTACTACTTATTACCATTGTATTTTTATTGTTTTTTGCTTGGCATTTGTTACTGCTATTTTGTCCATAATTATAATTATATTTTGGACGATAGCATCATATTGTAAAAGTTAAAGATTCATTGCTTGTTTTCACTGCTCAAACTTTATACAGTTGTATTCGATCATATTATCATTCTGTTTTCCGCCCTGACAAAATGCAATACTTTTGCCATATACTGTAACACAGAGACCACATTCTACACTATTGGTATAATTACTGCAACAGTATTGATAAGTATACAAAACATGAATGCCAGAAAAAAGTGGCAAATAAAACAATATTATATAATCATTTATTCCTTAGGAATTTAATATTCTACTTTTTTAGCAGGCCAGCTTTTGACTATATTTTATTTATTTATAAATTAAGTTTATAGTCCATTAAATTTATAAATTTATAGAACATGGGGCAGATGATAAATTATGGATAACCTAAACCAGCACTCACACTACAAACAAGTCCCAGGGTTCCTCCAATATTAATGTTCCAAAACAGGGTTGGATTACTCATAATTCTTAGTAAATTCACTGGTGCTTACTCTGAAGAAAGAATGTACACCATAGACAGCTCCACTCAGTATTCTTATGACTTAAAAAGCCATAGTGTCAAATTAAATTGTAAAGTACAAGAATTACATAGAAGTTTAATGATGGGTATATATTCACTCTCAGGGGCCACAGTGGCTCAGAGGTTAAGACGCTGAGTTGCAGACTGGAAGGTCAGTAGCTCGGCAGTTCGAGAGCCTAGTGCTGTGTGACAGAGTGAGCTCCCGTCTCTAGCCCCAGCTCCTGCCAACCTAGCAGTTCGAAAGCAAGAAATTGTAAGTAGATAAATAAATACCGCTTTGGTGGGAAAGTAACAGTGTTCCATGAGCCTCCACGTTTAGTCATGCCAGCCACATGACCACAGAGAAGTCTTCCGACAGTGCTGGCTCTTCGGCTTGGAAACGAAGATGAGCATTGCCCCCTAGTCAGATTTGACTAGCTTTCAAGGAAGGGAGACCTTTACCTTTACTATATGTTCACTAGCATAGACATAATTGCTGAACTGAGTCTAAATACAGAGCTCAAGCAGAAGAGAATATTTACAAAATGCAGCACAATCCAAAGTTACTTTTGAGAACTATATTACCACCTCTCATAATCACATACGTTTGAATGACTAGAGAGTTAACTGGACAAAAATTTTATTCCATCTTTGTGTTTTTATTCTTGATACTATTCTACACTGTAGATTTCCTATGCTTTTGGTATCACCTGCTCTCGTAGAGTATGCATCCATTGAGATTTAAGTATCTGTTTATGTTTGGTATGCACACAACATGCACTCCAAAATGAGAAAGATGATGTGGTAATCTCATACTTCAATGTGTATGTCTCAAGAATGGCAGAAGATATATTGGTAAAACAAATCCTACTAATTTCTGTTGGTGAAGATACAAGTAGGTATTCAGTATTCAAGTGTTCAAATTCAAGGTTTGGGCTGAAGGGATTCCAACATCTAAAGGTTTAAGACCAATGTAGTCATGAACATAACACATGCATCGACAGAAATTATACTTGTCAAAAGAATATTCTACTGAAGCATTTACCAGTCATATCAACTGTAAATCACTTGGCTCATACCTATAGTAGACTCTGTTTCTAGTCACTTTTCATTTTCTGAACTCAAATTCCTCTCAAGGGGTTTCTTTCCCATTCACTTCTCAAAACGTCATAATACTGAGAGCTTGGGAAAATTTAAAAACTGAATATTTACCAAGTCACTGTTCATTTTCTTCAAACTCATTAAACAGACTTGTACTACGCCATAGCAAATATGTTTACTTTCTATACTGTAAAAGCATTTGTCCATCCTTAGGCTCATGGTAATATAAATGCAAAATTTTTGGACAGGAATTTATTCTTGTATATCCATAGAATCATAGAGATGGAAGGGGCCATACAGGCCACCTAGTCCAACCTCCTGCTCAATACAAGATCAGCCTAAAGCATTCCTAACAAATGTTCATGCAAACGCTACTTGAGGATTGCCAGTGAGGGGGAGCTCACCATCTCCTTAGGGAGCCAATTCCACTACTGAACTCCTCATACTGATAGAACAAGACGGGTAGCCATGTTAGTCTGTTTGTAGCAGAAGAAAAGAGCAAGAGTCCAGTAGCACCTTAAAGACTAACAGTGAGCAGTGATTCATGCCCTGCCACAAATGTTGTTAATCTTTGAAGTGCTACTGGACTCTTACTCTTTTCTACTAGTCTTACTGAACTACTCCCATCCAAGCTCTGATCACATCCAAGCCAACTTAGCTTTAGCAAAGGTGGTGCATAACATGCCCTCAGGCTATGGCCAGATTTATCCAATGCTATTCTCCCAAAGCAGCAGCCCTAATAGCCCAGACTAACCTGATCTCATCAGAGTTCAGAAACTAAGCAGGGTCAGTACTTAGATGGGAGAGCACCAAGGTAGACTAAGATTGCTATGGCCCCGCCAGTGCTGGAAAACATGGGGGGGAGCGCAGCTATTGCCGTCGCATTCTGATGCGCTATTATGTGATCAGACGCGAGGCGGCTTCCCCGCAGCAAAGAGGACGACGGGGGAGGAAGCCGCACGCCGGCGGAATCACACCGGGAGGCTTCCATAGGCGGCCCGTGGCAAAGCGTTTGCTAGTACATGTGGTGTGCTAGTTTTTTACTACGTGGGTTTGCCGGCTTGCCACGGGTTCGCCACGGGAGTGCTACACCTCCCAGATGCTCCCGTGTGATCGTGCCCGGATACTCCGCGGGACTCCCGTGTCTGCTCCGTGTGATGGGGCCAAGGTAGAGCAAAGCAATGGCAAACCGCCTCTATTCATCTTTTGCCTTGAAAACCTGATGTTAAGCAGGTTCTCACAGCCCATGCTCAAAGACTTCCGTTTGCTTAGTTCACCCGGCAGATGTATTTGTTTCACAATAAACCCCAGCCCTCAACATAATGTAAAGTGATACTTTCCCCATCTTAGGGATGAGAAACGGTGTTCCTGCAAAGCTCGTTTCCCGTTCCCACAAAGCCACCCCACCCCACATTCCCCTATCACACACCAAGTGCCCCTCCCACCTCCTTCTCCCTGCACAGTCCCACCAGCGGGTGGGTAGCCTGCTGTCCCTTCCCTTCCCCGCCCCACCTCGAGCTTGTGGTTGATCTGGGAGACCGTCTGAGCCTTGTGGCAAAGCTGGGCAAAGCAGGAGCTCAAGCTGGTCATCTTCTGCCTCCCCTCATAGGTGATGTCCGCTTGGTCAGGGTCTATCTCGCCAAGAAGCAGGTCCACGTCCACGAAGGCCTTATCGAACTCCTTCTCCAGCACCTCCAGCCACCGGAACATCGACAGGCCCCCGCCGGCCCCACCGGGCGACGAAGCCGACGACACGGCCCCCCCAACGCCTCCGCAGGCCCCAGAGCCCGACCCCCCGCAGGGGCCGACCCTGCCCCGCATTTTCCCGATACTCCAACTCCTGCCGGCGCCCGCGAGACGCGACAGGCAGCGTCGGCCTCCGCTCGAGGGCGACTTGGGGAGGGGGAGCAGCGGCAGAAAGGAAGGCTCTCCGTCGTCTTCCCTTTCGTTCCAGACCCCCCCGCGCATGCGCTATAAGCTGCTTAGAGAGCCTTCGGCTTTCAGGGAAGGTTCGTTCTCTTTGGTTACCCAGTAAAGGGGGAGAGAACCCTGACGCAAAAATCGGCCGTCAACTTGCTCGGCCTGCCACAACTAAGACCAACTTGCCAGGTCGCTGATCGCCCATATCATCGATTGGGGCGGCTGTGCTTTGTCGTTCGGACTGAGGGTCGGGCAGGGGGTGCTGTTGCAGAGTTGCACATCCCCGGGCGCTGCGCCCAGCTTCTCACTGGAGTCTCTTTTATTTTACGCCTCTTGAGGGACTGAAACTCAACGATCCTGAAAGCAAATCCATGGTGTCATAGGCTGTTACGATTAGTTTGCCCATTGTGTGAGAATCTCTACTATTTTCTCCATGTCATGGATTAGGATAAGGACTTTGTGATATTGTAACTCTTGTATAAAGGAAAGATTGCTGTCTGAGAATAAGGAATGACATCATTGATTTGTTGATCTTGGATGAAGGCTGTACGAAACGGAAGTTTCACTCCGGAGAATTTCATCATCATGGCTCTGTGAGGACTTCTTCTTTGTCTGTATACCTGGATAAAATATATACGGACTTTGGTTATTCACTATCATATGGAAATTTAGGATTTTGTGATATTATATAGCAGCATTTTTGTACAATTTCCTTTGTGTCTTGTGCTTGTTACTGTTAATGTACAGGCATTTGCAGTGGAGCATCGACATGGCAATACTGAACAACACACTTCCTTTGCCTAAGCCCCCTGAGTGTGCAATTTTCCCTGTACAACAGGAGGGCTTTTTCAGGCATTAGAAAAACAGTAGTTGCTATATCATTATAATGCTATACTAATATTTTTGTTGTTGTTCAGTTGCACAGTCGAGTCCGACTCTTCGCGACCCCATGGACCAGAGAGTCTTCTCCAGCACCATAGTTCAAAAGAATCTATTCTTCTGCGCTCGGCCTTCCTTATAGTCCAACTTTCGCAGCCATACATGACTACTGGGAATACCATTGCTTTGACCATGCGGATTTTTGTTGGCAGGGTGATGTCTCTACTTTTTATCATGCTGTTTAGGTTCGCCATCGCTTTCCTCCCAAGGAGCAGGCGTCTTTTAATTTCATGGCTGCAGTCACAGTCTGCGGTGATTTGGGATCCCGGAAACGTGAAGTCTGACACTTCTTCCACGACTTCCCCTTCTATTTGCCAAGGAGTGATGGGGCCCGATGCCATGATCTTAGGTTTTTTGATGAGTTTCAAGTCAACTTTTGTGCTCTCCTCTTTTACTCTGAGCAAGAGGCTCTTTAGGTCCTCTTCACTTTCTGCCATTAGAGTAGTATCGTCTGCATATCTGAGGTTGTTGATCTTTTTCCCAGCAATCTTAATTCCGGCTTGTGATTCATCCAGGCCAGCATTTCACATGATGTACTCTGCATATATATTAAATAAGCAAGGTGACTTTATACATACTTGTCGTACTCCTTTTCCTATGCGAAACCAATCAGTTGTTCCATATCCGGTTCTAACTGTTGCTTCTTGACCCTTATACAGGTTTCTCAAGAGACATGTGAGGTGGTCTGGTACTCCCATCTCTTTGAGGACCTGCCATAGTTTGTTGTGATCCACACAGTCAAAGGCTTTAGCATAGTCAATGAATCAGAAGTAGATGTTTTTCTACTAATATAGCAGTTAACAATTTTTTAAAAGCTGTGCTGTGGTGTGTGGGGGAGGGGAGAGTCACATTGCCTGCAGGGGGCTGAGGCAAGGAAAATGTTATGTATTGAGACTAAGCCTTTTCCTTAAGCTGTACCAGGAACGGGTTGAGCTTGCTACTTTAGAACAATAGCTTGCCAGGATCCTGGAGGAAACCAATAGATAAGTCGTGTAATGTAAATAGCCTATCACGGGGAGTGTGTGTGTGTTGGGTGTAGTATTTAACAGAAAATTACCCAGATAGGACCTTCAAAAATATACACTTTCCCATCCACACATCTTTCCACAGAGACTGTACAAAAACTGGTTTGGAAAGTACAGCAAAGGAGGGGAAGAGCTAGGAAGTGGACAGTTAGAGGACAATATTATGTGGATGCTCCATTTTTTTAAATAAAAAGACCACTACAGTTTGGATGCCAAACTGAAACAAAGCCTACATGTGGGAGCAGCCTTTGTTGTGGTGCATGGAATATGTGATAAAAGGATTATAGCTGGACAGTTTCTTTAAAACAAAAGATGTGGGCAACCCTGTCAGTCCCTAACCACCTTGACTGGAATTATGGAGATAATCCTGTTTTCCCTGTACTCAGGTCACTATAATGAGCTATTCAGAAAAATGTGTTTTGTTTCCTACCCAAGCAACGGTTTGGATTCATATGCTGGTTTAACAAGCACAGTTGTGATAGTGCCTATAAGAATTCCTTTTCCATCTTTTGAAAAAGCTTTTTCTTAATGTTTCTAGAGGCTGAGCAGCCCTCCTTGTAATGGAAGTTCATAGGGTTGCCAAGTCCTACCTATTGCTGCAGCGGGGGACTCCTGCTCGCTGCTGGAGCCCGTGCGTGCGCCGCAACCACATCACCCGGAAGTGTGGAAAACCATAGAGTTTTCCCTCGGATGACCGTGGCCCCGCCCCCAGCATGCCCAGCGTGGTCGTGTCACTTCCGGGTGACGTGCACGTCACGTACTTTGGGGGTGGGGTTCCCTCCGGGGCCCGATTCGCCGGTGGCGGGGAACGGGCCTCTGGGATGAGGGTTTCCTCGCCCCCCGGGGGGACTTGGCAAACCAACATTTAAACAAGCAAGCAAATTACATAAAAGAAGAGTAACCTCTTTCTCTCCAACAGTGTCTTGCTGTTTGAGAAGTCTTCTGATTTTTCCTTTTTAAAAACAGTTATTTGGTGGTGTAGAGTCTTTCTCTGGTGTACCCCTCACAGACCACATTAACAAACAAAGCAAGAGGTATTCTTCCTCACTCCCTGACAGTCAGGCAGTTGCTTCCTGCTCTCCATTAAGCATGGCCAGATGACAGTGTCACTAGCAATGGATGGAGCTAGCATCAACAACATTCCGATCCTATCCTGATTAAATCTTTATTTATTAAGGGTATTTGTATGCCACGACTTGAGAGTTCTGCTCAAGGTGGCTTACAATTAAAACCACAATATTAAAAACAAGCTATTAAAACAAACCATTGGATATAAGCAGCATTAAAACTATCCATAAAACAGAAGCAGGCCATTTAAAAAGATGGTAAGATAAAACCTTTAATTAAAAGTCTGGTTAAAAAGTCTGGCACGTAAAAGAAAACAAAATAGGCACCAGACAAGCTTGGGGGGGGGGGAATTCCAGAGGCCAGGTCCCACCGCAGAAAATGTCTTGTATCTAGTTGCCACCCACCTCAGCCCTGATGGCAGGGCACAGAGACCAGGGTTTGAGAGACAGATCTTAACTGGTGAGCTGGATGATATGTGAGGAGACAGAATGGGAAGAAGCATCCTATTCATCTTTTCTTGGAAGTTAAAAAAAAACCTGGAAGTGAGGGGGGCTTCTCTGTTAGGGATATTAGCCTACAGGATCCCCCAGAATTACAGTTCATCTCCAGACTTCAGAGATCAGTTCCCCTGGAGAAAATGGATACTTTGGAGGGTGGACTCTGTGGCATCAAATTGCACTGAGGTCCCTGTCCCCCCCAAGCTCCACTCCCAAACCTCCAGAAGTTACCCAACCTGGATCTGACAACCCTATCCCCCATCCCCCACCAGTGGCCATTTGGTTGTCTTTTCTGATCATTTTGATTGTCTTTTCTGTACCTTTTCAAGCTCTGCAATATCCTTCTTCAAGTATGGTGAGCAGAACTGTACACAGTATTCCAAGTGTGGTCTCACCAGAGATTTGTATCAGGGCAGTATGATGGCAGCAATTTTATTCTCTATTCCTATTCTAATTATGGCCAGCATGGAATCCACCTTTTTCACAGCAGCCGTGCACTGGGTCAGCATATTCACTGAGCTATCCACTACCACCCCAAGGTCCCTTTTTTGGCCTGTTGGTGCCAGGTCAGATCCCATTAGTGTGTATGTGAAACTTGGATTATTTGTTCACATTGAATTTCATTTGCCATTTTAATGCCCATTCTCCCATTTTGAAGAGATCACTTTGGAGTTCTTTGCAATCTGTTTTTGTCTTAACCACTCTAAATAATTTGATGTCACCCGCAAATTTGGCCACCTCGCCACCCACCGCTAACTCTGTAATTTATGAACAAGTTGAAAGGCATTGGTCCCAATACAGATCCCCAAGGGAGCAGTTCTATGGAGGTGGGTTGGGAAATGGTTTTAACCAGCAAAGCACAATGAGGTAAGTGGGGGGAGGGGTTGCTTCCCCTTACCTGTGCACTTTTTAAATATAAATTTATTTTATCTGGACATTTTATACCACTTTTCTATATCAAAGGGGCCCAAAGTACAGAAGTTTTCAAAAGAAACTTAAACAAGCAAGACAAACTAAACAGGCACATCCTGGGCAGGTCCTCATTCACTGTGCTGGCTGGCATACACCTCTGGCTGTAAAACAAGGGCCAAGAGCCCTTTGGCTCAAATGTAAAGGGCTCATACCTCTAGCCACACCCCAACAAGTACCTGCAGGCAGAGAAGAAAAACCAAACTTGGCTGATGCTGGCTAACAGGCTCTTCTGAACCTCCTCTCACTGCCTCCATTTTGCATGCGAACTGGTGGATGTATAAATAAATGCCTATGAATGCCCACATCATATGAGAAAAGGCTGGAAGGGCCTGATTCCGCAACCGGGGAAAGGAACAGCCTGGTTCCTCTGAACAAATTATTGAAAACAGTAGCTTCCTTTGAGTTTTCTGAGTGACTGTGTGTGTGAAGAGGTGCAGCAATTGTTCTTGGTAAGACAAACAAGCTCTTTTTCATCAAAAGGCACAGGTTTAAACAGTAGAAAACAAACATTCCACATGTAATAAAGATTTTTATCACTGACAGGTGCAATTCATTCAAATACCAGAATCCAAGGACAAATCCCTGTTCAACTTGTACCTGCTTTCCACTCCAGGATTTGAAAAGTACTGGACTACAGTTTATAGATTACAACACAAAATGCTGGAAACATCTGAATGAACACACCATTAACAGAATTATGGTGAATAGAACTGTTAGGCCAAAAGATGGATGTAGTACTAGGAAAATATTGCCACCCTAATCAAAACTCTCGTGGTGGCTGTGAGATGGAAAAGGCGTCTAGGTGGCAGCTAAAAGAGAACATGTGAGATAATTAGCATCACATTGACTAAATTAAGGCAAAGATAAAGAGACAACATGGGCATAATAGTAACAGGGCCCTGCAAATAGAAGGGTGGTGATTGACACTATCAGATTTAACGTATATGGAAAGTTCCTAGACAATTCAGTCAAATCAGCTGCAGTTTGAGAGCACCTTTCCAAGGCAGCAGTGTGCCGAGTGCATTGTGGTAATCCTAGTCAGGATGTTATTCAGATATTAATGCCATTGGCTGTCAGACTTCTCCAGGCCAAGGTGTAGGTAGCTGGCATACCTGCCTAAAGAGGTAAAAAGTGGCCCTGTAGATTGATTATAAGGCAAACAAAAACAGATTCTGAGTAGCAAACAGCTAATCCAATAACAAACATTTCTTCGAAAACAGCCAGACAAGGTGATGGGACCTTTAGAGCACCACCCTAAGCAGAGCCATGGACTTAGAAGAGCGTGACTCTGCATATGAAGGCATTCTTAGAAAACAAAGGTGTGAAGGGATTATTGAAGAAGGATGAGTTTGCAGAGAAGGTAAATGAATTTTGGGCAACCACTGAAAAATGTTGAAGATCTTCCTACAGTTGAGCCAGGGCAAACAAAGAGAGAAAGGATTTCCTTTCAGACAATTTGAACAAATGCAGAGGCTTGAATTCTAATTCCTGCTTGTACACGGGCTGGTTGCTTGTCATTCAGCTTCAGTACAAAGTATCCTTGAAAGAAAACTTATCTTTCAGCACTAGCTAGAGAACATGGAATAAATGAATTGAGGTAATGTACTTTGAAAAGTATGAGGAATCATCAGTGTAATGTTTTTAAAATGTAATAAGGATTCAACGTTTTAATTGATTAATACTAGAATTTAAAGAAATTTTTGATTGCAGATTAAAATTCTCCTTTTCTGATTAATCAGCAGATTTGCTAACAAGACCTGCAGCCTGATTCTACACACGTTGGCTCAGAAGTAAATCTCACCAAGTTCAATTGGACTTACTTCATAGTATGTGTACATCGTCCTTTAACTGTAATTTTTCTTCCAAAACTGAGGGTGCCCTGAATGTTTCTTCCCTGTCCCATGGTCATGGCTGTAATAAGAAATATCCATATTCCCAAATAAGTAGATTCAGTGATAGGGAAAGGTTACCTGCCTGAGGCAGCTGCTAAAGTTATTGGATATTTTTTTAAAAAAATAATTACACTGAATAAGGAGTTAATATTTTTTTAAAGAAAAAATACAGAAAAAGCAAGAACTGATAACTCAATTGTCCTATAAATAATAGCAAGTTAACCTCCTGGTAGTCAATAGATTTTCAGTTCCCAAGGTACCAAAGGTGGGGGGGGGGGAGCCAAATTCTTCAAATAACATTTCTTGCACAGGACAGTATTGACCATAAGACTTTTAATTCACTTTCAAAAGACCTTATACTGACTGATCAGTATTATAGAACTGCTAAATAAATCTGGAAATTGCTTATTTAGTGAAAGAAGCTTGTTTTCTTTTCAGCCATGGCTGGAGAAAGATGAAAGAGATGCTTCAGAGCCCTTTTTATTTTTTTTAATACATGGTCATTGAAAATCCATATGTTTTATAGCCCTTTATAAAAGACCTCTTATCTTTTCCCACAACAATTCTATGGTGTCACATTGAACCAAACTAGGAAATTGCAGATAACAGAAGTGTTTGCAGATTAGACCTCAGGCAATAAATAAAATCGATTTCCCATGCCAGCCAAAATAAAGACTCCTTATCATTGTTTAAACCTTTTGCTCTTTGTGAAGCTTGCTAATATTTTAACCAAAGGGACTGTCTCTGCTCCCTTTTTGCGAAAGGAGAACCCACAGCTGTATTTATCTTTTTATCAGATGTTACGCTATAAAAGAGCACACGATTCCTACAAATTCATGTTGCAGACTGCAATTAACTGGTGCTCTTCAGGAAGGTGCTAGTTAGGAAAGATGGTGCTGTTTTACATTTTATTCCTTTTACTTCCCTTGCACAGTGATGTTGCTGCCACATGCCCACGAAAATGCAACTGCAACTTGTCAAGGAGAGTGCAATGCTACAGAGTTGGACGGATGCCTAAAGAGATTGCTTCCACTACCAGGAGACTTTACATCAGCCACAGCAAAATCAAACAGCTCCAGGTAGGATGCTTTCTTCATGGAGTAGCTTAAGTTTTCCATGCGGGTAGCCAGATGCACTAGAGGGCAGGGTTCCAGATTTCCTGGACAGGTGGCAGAGATGTTTTCCAAATGAATAAATAAATGATGGGGTTGTAGAAGCAGGACTTTTCTCTACGGATGCTTTGTAGAAAAGAAAAACAAGTCCCTTCTGTAAAAAGTTAAGGCTGCAGTCACCTTAAGGCTGCAGTCCTAAAGAAAAACAAGTCCCTTCTGTAAAAAGTCGAAGAGCTCCATTCTCCTTTGCATCTGGTCACCTTAAGGCTGCAGTCCCGACTGCGCTTGTTTAGGAACAGTTCCAATCAACCTCAACAGGACTAATTTCTGCATAAATGTCCCTAGGATGTTTTGGTTGAATATATCTGTACAGTAACTGAATGTGTTAGGATCACTTAAAAGTTACAAAGCAGTGAGTTTCACAGAACAGGAAAAAAGGGAGGGGTGATGTTGATGATATGTAATGTGGTAAAAGTTCAGTTATAACATTAATGCAGCCTCATCCCATTGATTTCATTGAAGAGTAGGTCCACTGACTTCAATGAGACTATGCCTGTAGCTGCACATATTTTGTTCGTTTGTTTTTAATGGGAATTGTCAAACAAAGCCATTGGAGAAACACAGGTAAATATCAATAATTTTTCATCCCCTTCATCCCTGTTTTGAGCTGGATTCTACTTATTGTACCTATATTTCATGAAATAACTGATCAAGTGATTATCACATTCCTTACAGCGGGGACAAAAGCAGGGTTGCACATTGCTAAGTCCATTGCAGCCAATGGGTTTAGAAGGATGTAACTCTGCTTAGGGTTACACTATCTATCCCACACTCCTCAATGATAGCTGAACCCCCAAAGTATTTATACAGCTTCCATTATAAATTAAGCCTGCTGTTGATTGTTTCATATTTTTTTTCATTCATCGGTTTTAGAAATGAAAACGTAACATTTTAAGCATATTGCTCTGCCTGCCTGATAAGGGCCATGGAAATATATGCACTTTAGAAATAAAAAAGCCCATGGTTATAAGACCGCTTTGGCTACCAAGGGCTTAACTGCTGGGTTTTACAGTTAATAGCAGCAGCAAAGAGTCCTGAATTCAAAACCAGCTGAAGAAAAATTTCTATAAAATAACGGAAAATATTATTCCTCAGACATATTTGGAACAGGCACACCAACTCCTAAATACTTGGTCCAGTTCCAAATAAATTTAGTTGTGACAGAGCAATGCTAAGCAGCTCTGCTCAGAATTCCTCTTGCTGCTTTCAAGACAGAAATGTTCTTAGAATTGCAGTGCAACTGATTTTAGCCAGATTGCACCTTTGGGTGCAAGAAAACAAAAGTTAGGTGCAGATGAGTCCAGTTAAGAATGATAAGCTTTCATATTTAATTCACAACTTTCTAGCATGTTTTAGGACTGAAATCTATAAAAATCCTGTGTTGGGTTAAACTGAGACTTAGCTCATTTAGAATGCTAGTAAAAGGAGATATATTTCTGTAGCTCATTATGACACAGCTGTTTTCCATTCCCCGGGTGAGGTACGGGGGGCGGGGCACATGACGAAGCCCTGCCCCCTGCTTCCGGCCGCCCCGCTTCCAGCCCTCATTCAGCCAGGAGGAGGCAGGAGAAGAGGGAGGGTAAGTTGCTTCCTCCCCGCCTCTCCCCACCCCTGCCTGCCTGGGGCCAGGGAGGGCCTTGGCGGGGCTTCCTCGCACTCCCGCTGGCCTTGCAGGTCCACCGCCGGGCCCCTGATGTCAGGGGGTGTGGCATATGCTAATGAGTTATGCTAATGAGTTCCGCTAGCTCTTTTTCTACGAAATGACCCCTGGTAAAAGGAGATGTTTCTGTAGCTCATGATGACACAGCTGTTTTCCATTCTCCTTGTGTGTGGGGGGGGAAACCCCAGTGTATCTGAATAACCATATTGGATTGAAGAGCTCATGCTTTTTTTTAGGGTTGCTCCAGGTTGGGAAATATCTGGTGATTTTGGGGGTGGAGCCTAGCAGGGCAGGGTTTGGGGAGGGATTTATATGGGGTATAATGCCACAGAGTTCACCTTTCAAAGTGGCCGTTTTGTCCAGGTGAAGTGATCTCTGTTGCCTGGAGATCAGGTGTAATCACAGGAGATCTCCAGCCACTACCCAGAGGTTGGCACTCCTGTGCCTGAAACAGAACTCACAAATGCTAGGCTGCGGGACTAGAGTTCCTTTGAACAAGTGCAGAATGCCATTTCTCAAAACTGGATTACTAAAAACTGATCTGAAAATATAAAGTTTTCTTACAAATCTACTCAGAAGATTTATATCCTGCCCTTCTTCATGGCACACAGCTCTGTGAGATAAGTTAGGTAGAGAGAGAGAAACTAGCTCAAGATCATCCAGTGACTTTCGTGGCAGTATAGGAGCTCCCAGATTTATACACTATACTACAAATGCTTTCTCAGAAAGAGATTGTAATGATTAAGGAAGGCTGAGCTTTAGGGTTGCTAGATAACCTATTGCTGTCTTGAAGCATTTAACAAGGTAAGCATGCCACCACCACTGTTCTTTCCACTAGTCCCTAATTCACTGTTCTTTGCAGCAACCTTACCAGTGCAATCCTGAGCGAGTCACATCCTTCTAAGCCCACTGAAGCATTTTGTAACCCTTTGATTCAATAAATGAATGTTTAGTAATCAGGTGTTCCCTGTTTTCTGTTGCCCCAGAAGGTTGGACCAGAACCAATGGGTTGAAATTAAATCAGAAGAGTTTTCAGCTATACAGTAGGAAGAACTTCCTGACAGAGTGGTTCCTCAGTAGAATGGGCTTCCTCAGGAGGTGGTGGGCTCTCCTTCTTTGGAGGTTTTCAAACAGAGGCTAGATGGCCATCTGACAGCAGTGCGGATTCTGTGAACTTAGGCAGATCATGAGAGGGAGGGCAGGAAGGGTTGCATCAGTACTTAGTTCTCATGGCCCCTTCTTACACACTGATCACCATTTTTGGGTCAATAAGCAATTTTCTCCAGGCTAGTTTGGCCAGGGATCCTGGAGGGTTTTTTGCCATCTTCTGGCCATGGAGCAGGAGTCACTGGGGGAGTGAGGGGAAATATTTGTGTATTTCCTGCATTGTGCAGGGGGTCAGACTAGATGACCATGGAGATCCCTTCCAACTCTATGATTCTATTATTCTCTCTACTGAACACATATACACTATGAAAGGCAAAATTAATCTATAGTTTTAGCTTCAGCTAAGGGACCTATCACACTGTGCATTTGGTACCAAGGGCCTACTCTTTAGGAAGTCACAACGAGGTCTGAACTTAGTTCTCATGGCCCCTTCTTACACACTGATCACCATTTTTGGGTCAATAAGCAATTTTCTCCAGGCTAGTTTGGCCAGGGATCCTGGAGGGTTTTTTGCCATCTTCTGGCCATGGAGCAGGAGTCACTGGGGGAGTGGGGGGAAATATTTGTGTATTTCCTGCATTGTGCAGGGGGTCAGACTAGATGACCCTGGAGATCGCTTCCAACTCTATGATTCTATTATTTTCTCTACTGAACACATATACACTATGAAAGGCAAAATTAATCTATAGTTTTAGCCTCAGCTAAGGGACCTATCACACAGTGCATTTGCTACCAAGTGCCCACTCAGTAGGAAGTCACAACGAGGTCTGGCTCTCTCCTGCATGACACATGTATTTGCAACTCCCTACTCTGTGCATTCACCCATAGGATTTTAGGTTTACACTTTTAAAAACCCTTTTGTTTGTTTGTTTTTGTTTGCAAAAGCAATATGTGGAATCAGTGGCCCTCAGTTTCTTTGTTACCTTTGCCAGAAGAAGCACACATTCCAAGTACCTGACTGGTCTTCTTCTACAGGGTAGCACCAAAAATATCCCTATGCATGTTCATTCAGCACTCAGTTCCACTTTATTCACTGGGGCTTACTACCAGAGAAATATGCATTGGGTTACAGCCTAGGCTGCAATCGTATACACACTTATTAGGGATGAAGTTCTGTTGAACTCACTGGAATGTTCTGACTATACATGCTGAGAATTGCACGGTTACTCTCTCAAGAGCTCTAGTTACTGACATGGAGCCTAAAAGAAAAATTCAGATAGCTCTACAATCTACTTGAACAAAAATATTTAGGTTTAAAGTAGTTCCGTTTTGAACACATTTGTGGATTGCAGCCAAAATTTACCAAAGTAGTTCTGATATAGTTGCCAGTGGTATTTATTCTTGTACAAATAGGCCTGTTTGCTCATTAGTATAAACTATAACCATGATTTTGTGGACAAAAGGAAATAGTATTTGCATGTCATGACTAGAAAGAAAAATTGAGGTTCTTTATCAATGTAATTTACTATTTTGTCAAATACCAAACCTGATAACAGTAGCAATGCAAACTTCAAAAGTGCCTTTGCAAAGAACCATTGTTCTGATAGTTTAAATCTCTGAAATAAACATCTAAAATATGTTATCAACATGTAACCCCCTCCCCTGTCTTTCTCTGTGAAATAAATAAAGAGATAGTGCTAATATTTCTCATTTATCCACTTAAAGAAAATGTCTCTGAAATAATAGGATGTTTTAAATAAACTGAGCTCCACAAATCAACATTTGTTAGTGGTTCACAGCCCCAGAGACATCCGGCTAGCCTCGACCAGCCCTGGCCCCTGCCTGGTGGAATGAGCTCCCGTGTGAGATCATGGCCCTGTTGGACCTATTGCAGTTCCGCAGGCCTGCAAGACGGAACTCTTCCGCCGGGTATTTGGTTGAGGCAGCGGACGTCCCCCTCCCCCCCCCCAGCTTCTCTGCCCCTAGTTTTTTGGCCCAGCTTTTTCTGGCCAAATTGTCCACCAGTGGCCTGATTCTGACTGGTCATCTGACTACCTCTATAGTTACACGGTATTTTATGATATTTTATATGTAAGTTGTTATTTTAATACTGTTTTAATTGTATTATTTAACTGTTGTACACTGCCCTGAGCCCATTTGGGGAGGGCAGTATATAAATCTAATAAAATAAAATAAATAAACCACAAAATGGAGTCAAAATTAAATGAAGTATCTTCAGGACTACAGTTCTGAGAATTTATTTATTTAAAGTGACAAGTAAATCGAGCAAAGTGGGTCTTATTTCTGAATAAACTTGCCCAAGATTAAGCAGCATGGCTGTAATCCAGAAACCACTTACTAAAGAGGAAGAGAAAGGGACGTGGCTGAACAGAAGAGTATCTGCTTAACTCACTGAAGGTCTCGGGTTCAATCGGCAACATCTTCAGTTGAAAAAACAGGTAGTAGATGATGTCAAAAACCTCTGCCTGAGACTCTGGAAAGCTGCTCCCAGTCTGTGTAGACAATACTGATCTTGATGGACCAATGGCCTGATTCAGTATAAGGCAGTTTCATGTGTCTGTGCATGTTCAAGTATCATTAAACGGAGAGGCTTGTATGTAAGTAAATATACTTATAATCATGCTGCATGCCCCACTGATGTCAGCTGAGTACTGAGTGTATTCTTAATTTTCTCTGATTAAATTAGTGGGACCAACATCTTGATAGAGATGCCAGCCTCCAGGCCAAAGAGATCAGTTCCCCTTGAGAAAACGGATGCTTTGGAGGGTGGACACTGTGGCATTGTATCCCACTGAGGTCCCTGTTCTCCTCAGATTCCATCCCCAAATCTTTAGGAGTTTCACAACCTGGATCCAACAACCCTACCAGGTTGGTGGCCAGGTAGGGTTGCCAAACTCTAGGTGGTGGCTGGAGATCTCCTGCTATTACACCTGATCTCCAAGCAAGAAAGTTCACCTAGAGAAAATGGCCAGTTTGGAAGGTGGACTCTATGGCATTATGTTCCATTGAAGTCTCTTCCCTCCTCAAACCCCACCCTCCTCAGGCTCTACCCCCCAAATATCCTGGTATTTCCAGGGTTGCCAGGTCCAATTGTTATGCCAGCAGGTGGTGGGAGAGAGCCTTCCAGGATTGGGGTGGCAGGGTGATGTCACCATGCACAACGTCACCAGTGCAATGACATCATGCAGAAGTGACTTCATCACACCAGGGCCAAAATGCTAGAGTGTTACTGTGCGATGCCCCTGGCATGATGACATCACTTCTGCACGACGTCATTGCACTGACAATGTTGATGCATGATGTGCGTGTTCAAGGGTGGGGCTTCCCCCACCGGCCAGCTGGCTGGCGGCAGGCTGAAGCCCCTAAAATGGGGGGGAAACCCCACCTGGACTGGGGGTCTGGCAATCCTAGGTATTTCCCATTCCCAACCCAGAACCTTCAACCCTGTGGCCTGGAGGAATTTGGCAATCCTACATCTTGAGCCTATGGCTGCGGTCACACACACTAAATGATCCACTTTCAGTGCACTTTCCAATTGGACTTTACTGTGTGAACTGGCAAAATCCAGTTGGAAAGTGCATTGAAAGTGGGTTGCAAGTCGATTATTTAGTGTGTGTGACTGCAGCCTATGAATATTTACACAAAAGTAAGTCTCTTGGAGTTCGGTTGGATTTATTACTAGGACTACAGCCTTTAAAATGTTCTGTATGTTGTATGCAAATATCTGAAGGGTGCTAGCTTGGCACAGGATATACTGTGCATAACAAAAGTAATTTGGGCTGGATTGTTTATTAATGATCTTGCATAATGTTATAATGGGAATTTAGGAAAATCTTCCAGGTTTCCCGTAGAACTGGTCCCTGCCATTTATGAAGGAGCTAAACAAGTTTTATTTACATACACACAGTTTGAGCCTACAGAATCTAACTGCAGCAACTCCAGTAGCCATCTAACAACAACCAACACACCTTCTTCATCCCAGAGACCACCAGGAGGCAAATGGCCTGCTCTCCTCCAAACATTGGATTTTTCTTAACTATATCATTTAGGGTTACCAGCTCCAGGTTGGAAAATTATTGGAGATTTTAGGGCAGAGTCTGGGGAGGGACTTCAGAAGGATATAATGCCATAGAACAACGTTTGAGTCCAGTGGCACCTTTAAGAGCAACGAAGTTTTATTCAAGGTAAAAGCTTTCATGTGCAAGCACACTTCTTCAGATGCACACAAGATCTTATACCTTGAATAAAACTTTGTTGGTCTGAAAGGTACCGGTGGATTCAAACTTTGTTCTACTACTGCAGACCAACACGGCTACCCACTTGGCTCTATAATGCCATAGAGTCCACCTTCCAAAGTAGCCATTTTCTCCAAGGGAACTGGTCTCTGCTACCTGGAGACCAGTTGTAATCCCAGGAGATCTCCAGCCACCTGGCGATCAGCTGCCCTGATTTTATTGTTTAACTCTTTACTGCCCATCACTCCCATTCATTTAAATATGTTTAAACAGATTTCCTGATGGTTTGTGTCCATGGAGGAGCTAATGAAATGATCCAGCTGACAGCGCTTTGAGTAATTTTACACACAGACACCAAATCATTTTGCTGTGGTTTTTGTCTTTAGATTTCTGATGTCAGTCGACTGTCTGCCCTTGAAGAATTTGTTCTAACCTGCAGTGGGACAGAATCAGTGGAGAGGAATGCTTTCAAGGCCCTGGCTGCCTTGAGGATACTGGAACTCTGGAAAAATAAACTGAGATGTATACCTTCCTTGCTCCCAGCAAACCTTGAAGTACTGAAGCTTGGTGATAATTTAATAAGTGTTCTAAATGAGTCTGATTTTGAAGGTTTAAAAAAATTAAGAGTTCTTGATATACAAAACAATCCGATTTTGGCTCTTTCTTCTAGTTCCCTTTCCTCTCTTAGCAGTTTACAGAGTTTGACTTTGGATGGAAATAATATGGAATCTGTGTTGGGACCACTCAGCCTTCCTAACCTGAAGTACCTGAGTATGGAGAATAATAAACTGCAGTTTTTTCCAGGAAGCTTTTTCACAGCTCTCCACACTCTTTTGTTCCTCAATTTAAATGGCAACTTGCTAACCAAAGCCCCTCCAGACTTGCCCACATCCTTAGTATCGCTGATGCTAGAGAGGAATCAACTCAAAATGCTAAGATCTGAAGATGTGAAACAACTGGCAAACTTGTCAGAACTTTGCTTGTCTGAAAACCAGCTTTCATCAGTCGATGGAGCCCAGTTTCTTTCCAGCCTGACCAGGTTGGAACTGGCTGGAAACAAACTCCAAACAATTCCAGTCAGTCTACCAGCCACATTACAAAAGATTGACTTCAGCAATAACCAGATCGAGAAAATTAAAGCCCAGGATTTCCAAAAACTTCAGGACCTTAAGCATTTGTTTCTTGACAACAATGTTGTTAAGACGTTTGAGGATGGGGCACTTCAGAGATGCACAGTACTGTCTAACCTAGCACTTGAACAAAACCTCCTTAGTTCTATACCACTAAGGTAAGTGACACGGAATGCCAAAAATGTTATTTTTTTTGTTTAGCTTTAAGGTATTAGTCGGATAGTTAAAAGACATTTAATTGTGATCATCTATGCATTTTTGTATTATGTTCCTTAAGAAATTAACAAAAAGTAATCGTCAATGTATTTTTGTAGTATGTTCCATAAGCAAAAACTGAAAACAAAAGGGGAGGGTATGTGTGCGTGTGGATGAAAGCTCATACCTTGGAGACAACTTGGTTGGTCTTAAAGGTACCACTGAACTCCAACTTTGTTCTACTACTTCAGACCAACAGATCTATCTTCATAGGAGAAAACAGCAGTGCACAGCCGTCTGCAAGGCACAGATGTGCCAGAGTCCCTAGCAACTCCAGCAACATCCACCAATAGACAACAGCAGGTGATGATGCCCCTGTGAGTGGCAAACACAGGCACAGCCAATCACCAGCTGCTGATCCAGCCACTGCCCCTTGATGTAGTGGCTCCCTTGCATCTGCCATGGTTCCCCACTCCTGCACTGACAAGCTGCATGTTTATCAGACTCCAGCAGTGCTGTGGGAAAGTGTAGGACCTGAGAATCCCCTTCCCAGAGCAGCCCCCCAACTACCCACCAGACCATTCCTGTGCATGCTGCATCTAGCAGCCACCAAAGTGTGTCACGTGTGAAGAGGGTAGAGACCTACATGTGGGGTCAGCCTCTAAGGTGCCACTAGACCCCTGCTATGTTTGGCAGCTGAACAATATGGAAGACCAGTGGCACAAGACCAAAAACAACCATCCCAGCATGGGCACTGGCCCACCCTCTTGGACATGTGAAGAGGTATCCCTAAGGGGAAGGCACAGATTGGGAGGAGGAGGCAGGGAGACAGGGAGGGGCATGGAGCTTGTCTCATCTGCTCAGGAAAAAAACCAATAGGGGCAAAGCTGTAGAACACTCCAGACTTCATTGAAACGCAAATCATGAAGAAGTCCAATTGGTCAGGTTGCTAACTCTCTCTGTTCAGTGTGGCACTTGTGTCCTTGTGAGCTGCTCCCAGCAGCCATGGGGAGACAGGCTGAGCTGTCCCTGGCACAGTGTGCATCTGAGAGAGGCGGACTTTCAGGATGAAAAGCTGCCCAAGGCAGGATGCTCCAAGAGCTGGGCTGGAACCAATGATGGGGCAGAGTGGCAGGGACTGCTATGGTCATGCTCCCAGGTGTCCCTGTTGAATCACCACCTGCACAGAAGTGAAACAGAAACAAGTGCAGTGATGGCAAACAGCACTGACACTTGCCAGCCTCAGCCATGAATGTGATAACCCCAACAGGGCCTGCAGTCCCACCCTCATGGAGGAGCATTTGCCAGGAGACCCCTCCCCTGAGGCACAGGCTGTTGTCATCCAAGTGACACTTGCCTAATCCATAAAGAAGTGCTCTACTAGTGCAGCTGATTGATCCAGTGCTCCTGCTGCTGTTGCTGCTGCTGCAGCAGCATGGGGCAGTGATCCTGCAAGGGAAAGAGTCCCAGGGTTGCTTTGGCCAACTGATCTGTGTAGTGTGGCAGCTGCTAGGTACCCCAATCCACAGTTATGCCTGTCCTCCAGAGGGGGGGGGGTGTTCCTGGCAAGGAACTGTATTAACATCCCAGGGTGGGACTGCAGGCTCCCCTGCTCCCCCATAGGCAGCTGCCCCAGGAACACCCTCCCCCTTTGCTTGACTTAGGGCTAGGGATGCTAGCCTCCAGGTAGGACCTGGGGATCCCCTGGAATTACAGCTCACCTCCATACAAAGATCGATTCCCCTGAAGAAAATGGATGCTTGGGAGGTTGGACTCTTTGACATCGCATGCCACTGAGGTCCTTTTCTGCTCCAGGGTCCATTCCCAAACCCCCAGGAGTTTCCCAACCTGGATGTGGCAGCCCTACCCCCTAATCTCCCACTGGTGGCCAGGGTGGTCGTGGCAACCCTACCTAGGAGGGCCCAGTTGAGGCTGCCTCCGAATACACACACAACTGCCTTTGGTTGTGGAAGTAGTGCCTAGCCTTATGCCAGGGGAACAGAGAAAGCACAGAAGGACTCCCAGGCTGGGGCAGCAGTATTCCCACCCCTGCTTACCTGTCAGCATGTTTCCAAACAATGTCTGATTTTATTAGAACAACTTTGGTACAAACAACTATATTGGGCAAGGCATACCAGACACTTGCATGGCTGTCTGCGGAGGTTCAACTGGTCAGGAAAGAGTTTCTGAGGAGGGACAGGATCACACATCCACCCATCTACAAAATACATATTGCAAAGTCACGAAGCCTCAGTTGGCCTCAGAGCCACGTGGGAAAGAAAGAGAATCTTCTGTTTGGATTCACTAATCAAAACCAATTCCCCTGCTGTGTTATTAGCAGTCAAAGGGGGGGGGGCATCGAAAGGGAAAAAAGATGTGTCCTTTAAAATATGTACGTTTCCCTTTATGATGCTAATAACGAGATAAGGAACCCAGTTTTTCTTAACAAGAGAGTGGTGGTCGAAGGGTTAAACAGCACAGAGGCAAACTGAGGTTGTTTGAACCATTTTATAGATGGACGAGATGTTCAAACATCCTCTCAACTTTTTCAGTAAAATCTGGATTTGAACTGCTCCATATTCTGAAATGCTAGAATGACTTGAAAATATGGAGTTCTAAACACTATTGCACCATGGCAATGAAAAACAGACCCTGTCGTATTCCACAGATACCAATCATGGAAAACCCTCATTTGGTTTATAAAGGGAACCATATCGTAGTGTATTTCATTGTTTGTTGTACATACTATTGTGCATTGCTAAAGTACTAGGGTTGTCAGGTCCTCTCTGGCCACCAGCAGAGGTTAGGGGAGCATAGGTGTAGACTACAGGGGGGCTCGGGGGCTCGAGGGCTAGCGCCTTCCCCGAAAGTTTCCAGGGAATACTAAGCCTCCCCTGGGGGCAGCCAGTGCCAGCCAGAGCCTTGCCAACCCCCCCCCCGCAACCCCCACCCCATTTTGAAAGTGGAGGGTTTTTTCCCTCTGCTTTCTGAGACTTCAGGTGGGTTGGGACTGGGAGGGAAGTCAGGGCAGGGGCTTGCTTCCTGGAAGCAAAACCCCATCCTCAGCTCCCAGCAGCCCTCAGTTCGGCCTGGAGGAGCTGGAGGCTGCATGTGGAGTGGTTTCGCTGCTTTCCCCCGCAGAGAAAGGTAAGGAGCTGGCTGGCCTGGGGCAGCAAGGGTGGGGGGATCTTTTCAGGGGTGGGGGTGGACAGAGAGCGCCCAGGCTGGCTGCTGCCAGTCTGGGGCTTGCCTTTGGGCCGGGCAGCCATGCGGGGGGATCAGATGGGGGGGGAAGGCCAGCATCCATGGAGGATCGCCAGCTTTGGGGTGGCTGGGCAGCCGGGCACCCTTCCTGCAGCCTCGTGCCACTGGTTTTTTTCCTGTTCTCCACAAGGCTTGCCTTGGGCAGCCATGCGGGGAGGTCCTTTCTTTTCTTCTCCTGTCTTTCACTTCTCTGTCCCCATCTATTTGCTTTCTTTTCATCTCTCCCCTTCCCTCCCTCCCTTTCCATCTCTCCCCTCCCTTCTTTCTTTCTTTCTTTCCTTTCTTTCTTTCTTTCTTTCTTTCTTTCTTTCTTTCTTTCTTTCTTTCTTTCTTTCTTTCTTTCTTTCTTTCTTTCTTTTCTGTCTCCCATCTGTTTGCTTTCCCTCCCTCCCTCCCCCCT